ACCCGAAACCCGAAACCCGAAACCCGAAACCCGAAACCCTAAACCCTAAACCCTAAACCCTAAACCATCCTAAATCTCTGAAGCCTTTGGGGGCAGACCAACCCTTCAAAACTGCTGGAAGCATTTGGGCTTAGGTTTGCGGTTTAGGATCTGGGGTTTCGGGTTTAGGGTTTAGAGATTTAGGGATGTAGGGATTTAGGGTTTAGGGGTGTAGGGTTTAGGGTTTAGGGTTTTAGGGTTTAGGCTTTGTATAGGGCTCACTAAACCCTCAACCCCTAAGTAGGGAGTGTATAATAACATTATCGGCTGTAGGGTTTGCAGGGTTTGAGTGGTTTGCGGGGAGGTCTCAGTGAAGTTCTAACCCTGTAGGGACTCAACCCCTGATTGCCCTCGTGAAGGTGTGCAAGTTATAAGTGGTAAGCTATCAGCCATGTACGTCTTGTAAGTTAGATAAAGCTGGACATGCTAGATGAACTTCATAAGCTGTATACGCTTCATAATTAATCTGCAAAACCCTAATAAGCTAGATAAGTTCTGACGCCATCCGCGCAGCCCTGGCATCCAAACAAGCGACCACAAGAGTTGGGGGTGGACCTGATTCATGGTTTAAGGTTTAGGGTTTAGGGTTTAGGGCTTAAGGTCTCGAATGTTGAGGTTCTATCGGGTCTATAGGGATTGGCGTCGAGCCTTTCGGGGTACCCCATGATTTCGTTCAACCCCCTGAATTCGGAGCACGCGCGTTCTCCTCAGCCGAGGGACAAGCACAGGAGCCTCATACTCCAAGCCACGCTAAACCCTAAACCCTAAACCCCAAACTTCAATACCTAAACCCTAAACCCTAAACCCTAAACTTCAATACCTAAACCCTAAACCCTAAAACCCTAAACCCTAAACCCTAAACCCTAAACCCCAAACCCCAAACCCTAACCCCTAAACCCTAAACCCTAAACCCTAAACCCTAAACCCTAAACCCTAAACCCTAAACCCTAAACCCTAAACCCTAAACCCTAAACCCTAAACCCCCCCAACCTGATCACCGAAGTTGGGTGGCGCGCGTGCCCCTCCTGCATGCCCGGCCTTCTCAGCACAAGCTTTTGGTCAAGGCCGGCCCAAAGTCGGTTTTTGGGGGTTTAGGGTTTAGGGTTTAGGGTTTAGGGTTTGGGGTTTAGGGTTTAGGGTTGGGGTTTAGGGCTTGGGGTTTAGGGTTTAGGGTTTAGGGTTTCTTCCAGGGGTTTAGGGTTTAGGGTTCAGAGGGTTTCTTCCAGCGCGTGCCATACGATGGGGTTTAGGTTCTCGGGGAAGAAGGAGGGGGAGGGCTCCAAAACCCCAAAGCCCAAAGGCCAAAACCCTAAACTCTAAACCCTAAACTCTAAACCCTAAACCCTAAACCCTCCGAAACCCTACACCCCTCAAGCCCCAAACCCCAAACCCTAGAACACAAACCTAAGTAAACAGGAAGGATACTTATTCACCCAATCATAGCTGTACTTATAACGCGGTGTTTGACGACCATCTTCGGGCACGAAAGGAGCTCATGCGTGGGCCATAAGTACCTAGGGTTTCGGGTTTAGGGTTTAGGGTTTAGGGTTTAGGGTTTAGGGGAAGATGAAAGCGCGGGGATTTAGAGGGTTCGGGGCTTAGGGGTTAGGGGTTGGTTTAGGGTTTTAGGGGTTTCAGGTTTCAGGGGTTTGGGGTTTGGGGTTCTCAAAGGGTGTGGGGTCTAGGGCTTAGGGTTTCGGGTTCACAGGGAGGGTGTAGGGCTTTTAGGGTTCAGGCACTGGGCGCCGGGACCTTCCCGGATCAAGAATCTTGAAAGCGGGTATTGCCTGCGGCAGGCATCCTTCTGTTAACAATGCCGAAGGCCCCACCACCTCTCCCCTCCCCAGGAGCCAAAAACCCAAACTTTAGGGTTGAAGGTTTCGGGTTACGGGGGTACGGGGGTTACGGGGCTTGGAGGGTTACATAGGACTTGAGTATGAGCACTCGAAGGTTTGTGCAGGCCCCGAACGAGACCCAAAACTTCGGCTGCACCCTACTGGTACACCCCTTTCGGGTCTAGAATTTAGCGCTCTAACCTTCAACCCCTAACCCCCCTAAACCCCGAACCCCACAAAAAACCAACTTCGATCCCCAAATCCCCAACTCCAAACCCCCAAACCCCAAACCCCTAAACCCCTAAACCCCTAAACCCCCAAACCCCCAAACCCCCAAACCCCCAAACCCCCAAACCCCCAAACCCCCAAACCCCTAAACCCCTAAACCCCCAAACCCCCCCCCTAAACCCCCAAACCCCCAAACCCCCAAACCCCCAAACCCCTAAACCCCCAAACCCTAAACAATCGCCATCTTTTGCCTGCGGCGGGGCAATACCTGACTTGCGCGACGCGAGGCGCGCGCGCGCGCGCGCTCGCGCGACGTTTGTGCTGCGAGCGACGGCAACTGAGAAGCCCGACTTGAAGTCCCCTCCCCGTAAGATCCTGAAGCCCTAAAGCCCTAAAGCCCTAAACCCTAAACCCTAAACCCTAAACCCTAAACCCTAAACCCTAAACCCTAAACCCTAAACCCTAAACCCTGAACCCTGAACCCTGAACCCGAAACCCTAGACCCGAAGCCCGGAACTCCGAGGCTTGGAGTTTCGGGCTTGGAGGGTTTATCTCGGGTTCATGTAGCATTTAGGGTTCATAGGGTTCATAGGGTTTAGCGGGTTTAGAGGGTTTAGAGGGTTGAGAGGGTTGAGAGGGTTTAGAGGGGCAAATATATCCATAAGAACCCCAAGCCCTAAACCCTAAACCCCGTTTTGGGGGCTTCAGGGCTTAGAGTTTAGCATGTACCTTGGGCTACCTAGCTAAAAGGTCTTGCGTTCTTAAGCTAGAGGCTAAGGTTGAAGTTGAGCTTATTCCCTTTGTTTAGGTAGAACAACTTTAAGCCCCCAAAGAAGGGCACCCTTGGTGCTCCCAGTGTAGGAATAGCTTTGGTTCCCCCTCAACTAACCCTGACCCCTAAGGTCCCTCCCCGTAAGATCCTAAAGCCCTAAAGCCCTGAAGCCCTGAAGCCCTAAACCCTAAACCCTAAACCCTAGACCCGAAGCCCGAAACTCCGAGGCTTGAATTTTCGGGCTTGGAGGGCTTATCTCGGGTTCATGTAGCATTTAGGGTTCATAGGGTTCATAGGGTTTAGAGGGTTTAGAGGGTTTAGAGGGTTTGGAGGGTTTAGAGGGTTCAGAGGGTTCAGAGGGTTTAGAGGGTTTGGAGGGTTTGGAGGGTTTAGAGGGTTTGGAGGGTTTAGAGGGTTTAGAGGGTTTAGAGGGTTTAGAGGGTTTAGAGGGGCAAATATATCCATAAGAACCCCAAGCCCTAAACCTTAAACCCCGTTTTGGGGGGCCTCAGGGCTTAGAGTTTAGCATGTACCGGCTACCTAGCGCCCCCCCCCCCCCCCCCCCCCCCCCCCCCCCCCCCCCCCCCCCCCCACCGCCGCGCTCCCCCCTCTCTAGGGTTTCAGGGTTGGGTTTAATTAGAGCTTTTTTCTTGTTTTTCTTGGTAGGGCTTTCGGCTTTACGGGTGAAGATAAAAGGTGCTGGGCCCCGCAGCCTCTTCTGCGTTGAAGGAACACCCTAAACCCTAAGCCCGCAACCCTAAACCCCAGACCCTAAACCTAAAGCCCCCTAAACCCTAAACCCTAAACCCTAAACCCTAAACCCTAAACCCTAAACCCTAAGCCCTACACCCTAAACCCTAAACCCTAAACCCTAAACCCTAAACCCTAAACCCTAAACCCTAAACCCTAAACCATACACCCTAAACCCTAAACCCTAAACCCTAAACCCGAAACCCTAAACCCTAAACCCTAAACCCTAAACCCTAAACCCTAAACCCTAAACCCTAAACCCTAAACCCTAAACCCTAAACCCTAAACCCTACATTGCCGTGGCTCCGGCACGGAGGAGACCAATTGCACGGCGAAGCCGAGCTCAGCCATAGTGTTCCCCAAAAAAGAGTCGAGGGTTTAGGGTTTAGGGTTTAGGGTTTAGGGTTTAGGGTTTAGAGTTTAGGGTTTAGGGTTTAGGGTTTAGGGTTCCGGGTTTAGGGTTCAGGGGTCAGGGTTTAGCTTGCAGGGTTCAGGTTCTGTGGAGGCCCGTTTTCCTTTGCAGACAGAAGCTCGGAAGTGTTTTCTTGGAACACACCCTACATTCAGGGCCCCAAGCCCCCAAGCCCCCAAGCCCCAAGCCTCAAGCCTCAAGCCCTTAAACCCCAAACCCGACGCCCCTCTGATGCACACACCCAAAGCTCCTAACCCCAAACATGAAGTCATCAAGTCTCAGTACTGTCTGGGCTTAGGACCCTAAACCCTAAACCCTAAACCCTAAACCCTAAACCCTAAACCCTAAACCCTAAACCCTAAACCCTAAACCCTAAACCCTAAACCCTAAACCCTAAACCCTAAACCCTAAACCCTAAACCCCTAAACCCTAAATCCTAAACCCTAAACCCTGAACCCTGAATCCCAAACCCTAAACCCTAAACCCAGTCTGGGCATAGGGTTTAGAGGTTCACCAAGGTTTGGGGCTTGGAGCGTGTTCAGGGTATCGGGCTTAATCCTCTACAGGTTCAGGGTTTAGGGTTCGCAGGGCTTAGGGATTCGGGTCTAGGGCTTGGGGTTTAGGGTTTAGGGTTTAGGGTTTAGGGTTTCGGGTTTAGGGTTTAGGGTTTAGGGTCTAGGGTTTAGGGTTTAGGGTTTAGCTTACAAGCCGAGCCGGCGACTTAGAGGGCTCGGGAGGCAAGGGCGAAAGACGCAGAATCCTAAAAGCCACCCTGGTTACTCCTAGCTTACTGCGGCAGCCCCCTAAAGCCCAAACCCTCAATCCTAAAACCCTAAACCCCCAATCCTACAGTCCCAAACCCTAAACCCCAAACCCCAAACCCCAAACCCTAAACCCTAAACCCCTCAACCCCTCAACCCCTAAACAGCTAAAAGCCCGAACCTAGCAAAGCTGGCACGCTGAGGCCTTGAATGGAAAGAGCAGAGGGCAAGCGCTTGAGGAGGCTTGGGTTTGTCTTGTTGAGGGTTTAGGGTTTAGGGTTTAGGGTTTAGGGTTTAGGGTTTAGGGTTGGGGGTTTAGGGTTGGGGGTTTAGTTTAGGGTTTGACCGCATCCGCGGCGGTAGTTTGAGCTTAGGAGTTTGGGGCACTGGGTTTGGGGTTTAGGGGCCGAAAGCTGATTCCCTAGACCCTAAACCCTGGGCTGAGGAACTTGGGGTTTAGGGGTTTAGGGTTTTGGGGTTCAGGGTTTGGGGCTTAGCGGGCCCCGAAGCTGCGTAAGTTCGCTTAAACGGCTGCGATCCTAAAGTTTTGTTCAAGGCCAGGGGCTTGTTGGCCGTGTAGAGTTTCTATCAAGGGATGAAGACTCGAAGCCCTAAGGTTGTACCCCTAGAGGTTCCGCTTCGTACGCTCCTACTATGGCCCTTATACTACCTTTCAGGATCTTAAAAAGGGTCCCCCGAACCCAAGGGCACAACCCCATAGGTCTGAGGTAGAGTCCCACCGAACCCTGAACTTTAACCTTCAAACGCTGCTGGAATCCTCGCATTCCGCGAGGGCAGCGCAAGGCCGCGAGTGCTGCGGAACCGCCAAACGCTGCGCCGACCTCGCCAGACTCTCTAAACCTAAACCCTCAACCCTGTTTTGGGTTCTCCAGGCAGCCATGGCTGCGGCGGCGCTTGCCGTGGCGGAGGAAGCGGTGTGGCTCTCAGAGCAACACCCTGCCTTAGAGGCTCAGGGAACTTTTCTGGAGTCTTTTGGGGTTTAGGTTTTGGGGGGTTTGGGGTTTAGGGTTTAGGGTTTAGGGCGTCGGAGAACGTAGGACTTATGGTTTTGGGGGGTTTGGGTTTACGCTTAGAGGGGGTTAAGCTTCCCAAGGTTTGGGCTGTCCTACTGGCAGCCTGACTTATGTCCTGTCTACCAAGGTCCCTGAGCCCTAAACCCTAAACCCCCCAAACCCGAAACCCCCCAAACCCTAAACCCTACACCCTAAACCCTAAACCCGAAACTCCCCAAACCCGCAACCCTAAACTTGCCACAGGGACTCAAGGTTCTGCGCTCCTGGGGACACTAAACCCGAAATTCTACACCTCCTTTAGGGCTTAGGGTCTAGGGTTTAAGAGCCTTCGAAGCATCAACCCTAACTCCCAACATCTAAGCCTAAACCCTAAACCCCAAACCCGAAGTATGACCCTAAATCCTAAACCCTAAACCCTAAACCCTAAACCCAAAACTCCAAACCCTAAAAGAGACTCAGAGAGCCAACGCCCGCGAGTCTCGCAGGATGTGATCGGAGTACCTGGAACGACTACTGCTAGTTTAGGGCTTGGTGTTTTGAGTTTAAGGTTTGGGGTTTGGGGCTTAGGGTTTGGGATTTGGGGTTTAGGGTTTTAGGGTTTAGAGTTTGTAGGTATCACACATTGGGTTGCAAGGTCCAGGGCTCCTGATATGTTGCAATCCTCATGAGATCAGTGGCTCTGAGGCTTTTGGGCTTAAGTTGGGCAACCTAAAACCTAAACCCCCTTTTCAACCTATTCTGTCCTAAACTTGGGTTCAGGGACCTAAGGCCCCAACGACCGAAGTTCAACATCCCAAAACCCTTACCCAGTCAAAGTACGATGTAGTGAGCTGTATCAGCTACATTTTCTTCGTTTTCGGGTTCAGCGTGCCAACCGTCATCACTGAGTCATCACCATTAATTTGAAATCTGATTATGTTTTTTTTGTTTGGACTTCTATTCCTGTTAGCCGTTATATTCTACTCATGAACCAGAACTCCTAGAAGCGAGCGCCGAGGCAGCCGCCCGCGCGGTCGGCGGAGGACCCCGGATTTTTTTGGGGGCACTCCGATCTTAGACCCCGCACCCGGACAAGGTTCAGGATTTAGGGTTGAGGGTTTTAGGGTTTTAGGGTTTTAGGGTTTTAGGGTTTTAGGGTTTTAGGGTTTTAGGGTTTTAGGGTTTTAGGGTTTTAGGGTTTTCGGGTTTTGGGGTTTTGGGGTTTTGGGGTTTTGGGGTTTTAGGGTTTTAGGGTTTTAGGGTTTAGGGTTTAGGGTTTAGGGTTTAGGGTTTTGGGGTTTGGGGTTTGGGGTTTAGGGTTTAGGGGTGCCAACTGTGCTTTGGGGACAGTTGTCAATTTCACTTCTTTCCTGATAAGGGAACCTATTCAGAATAGTTTTTCAAAGCACAACTCAGGCTGAACCCTAAACCCTAGCCCTAGACTCTAAACCCGAAACCCTAAACTCTAAACTCTAAACCCTAAAGCCTATAAAGCCTATAAAGCCTATAAAGCCTATAAAGCCTATAAAGCCTATAAAGCCTATAAAGCCTCTAAAGCCTATAAAGCCTAAAGAGCCTAAAGCCTGAAGCCTAAAGCCTAAACCCTTTAGATCTTGCAAGGAGGGCGGGTGGGTGTCTCAGTGTTCTCTGGTTGGGGCTGATGGTGCAACCACGGCTCCTGTCTATAAGCTGTGAGGCCCGAGCCCCTCAGCCTGAGCCCTAAGACTTTAGGCTTCAGGGTTTTAGGGTTGCAGGGTTTAGGGTTTAGGGGTTTAGCGCCCTAAATCTTAACCCCTAAACGCTGGGAAGCATCGTTTGCCCTCCTCACCGCAGGGCGGGCTGCACAGCTGCTCGCGCCGGGATGCCCGGGCATGACAAGTGGGGCTTAGCACTCAAGGTTCAGGGTTCAAGACTCAGGGTCTAGGGTTCAGGGTTCATGATGAGGGTTTAGGGTTTAGTGTTTAGAGTTCAAGATTTCGGGTTCTGGTTGATGGGCCCTTTTGAGGGTAGGGTTACGGTTTGTTAGTGGGCTCTCTCTAAACCCCAAAGCCTCCACCCCTAAACACCACGGACGCGTAGGGCTTTGACACAGTTCTAGGCCTCTTTTTCGCTTATCTATATATATATATATATAATTAGGGTCTATATTGGGTTTATGTAGGGTTTGTGGGGTTTATAGGGAGGATCGGGTTTATAGGGTTTGCTGCCGCCATGGCCGGCTCGACTGCTGTCGTGGTGGCATCTCGACAGGGGGGCCTCCCTGCGGGAGCGGGCGGCCGACGTGTTGCTGCAGCTCAACGGTGAGATGGAGCCTTACCCCTGCTGCTTAACGACCAGGAGCAGGTCGTCTTGCAGGAAGGTGCTTCGCTGGACCTTGCAATGCTCCGAAACCCGAAACCCGAAACCCGAAACCCTAAACCCTAAACCCTAAGCCCTAAGCCCTAAGCCCTAAACCCTAAACCCTAGCACAATGGCCACACGTTCGCAAAGCGCAGGAACCCTAAACCCCAAACCCCAAACCCCAAACCCCAAACCCCAAACCCCAAACCCCAAACCCCAAACCCCAAACCCTAAACCCTAAATGTGAGTCCCGGGGAAGCCTTGCCATGCCCGTGGGTCGACCCACAGGAATGGCATCTGTGGGACGACTGTGAATAGAAGTCCTTCCGTGTCACTCTTCGGAGTTTGGGAGCATTGCGGTTTAGGGTTTGGGGTTTGGGGTTTCGGGTTTTGGGGTTTAGAGTTTAGGGTTTTGGGTTTGGGGCCTAGGGTTGAAAGGTTTAGACCCACACGCGAAGGGCCTTTGGAACAGCATCTTTGGTGGCAATGGCAACAGTGTAACATAGTGTAACGCAAGGATGCACAAGGTAAGTATCCCTAAACCCCAAAAAGCCTAAACCCTAAACCCGAATCCCGAAACCCGAAACCCGAAACAACCCTAAGCCCTAAACCCTAAACCCTAAGCCCTAAACCCTAAACCCTAACACGAGGATACACAAGGTAAGTGAAGCCGAACTCTCAGGTCTGCACACCGCACGAGCAAGCTGCACAACGGCGCGGCGATGATGAAGGCCCCCTCAAAGCCATTTGGGGTTTGGGGTTGAGGGTTTCGGGTCTAGGGTTTAGGATTTAGGGTTTAGGGTTTAGGGGTGTGTATCCTCGTGTTACGTTTAGCGTTAGGGTTTAGGGTTTAGGGTGGAGGCTTTAGGATTTAGGGTGTAGGGCCCTAATTACTCCCACCGGCTTGGATTGCAGGGTGGTCGTAATCCCCCAAACCTCAACCCTGAGCCTCTGTATCCCTCAAACCCTAAACTCCAAGCCCTAAACCCTAAACCCCAAACCCTAAATCCCAAACTCTTGAACCTCTGTAGGGAACACTGATGCTAGAATCCAACCGGCTACCCTGCACCCTCAACCCTCAACCCCTAACCCCTATTTAGGGCTTAGGGTTTAGGCTTAGGGCTTAGTGTTTAGGGTTTCTTAAGAACCCAAAATTTAGTTTCTTGTAGGTTGTTACCATAGACTCCCTTATATGGGACTCGTAGGTACCCTGCAGAAAAGTAGGCCTTGGGTTCTTACCCTAAACCTTCAACCCTATAATTACACCCAACTATGGGATAAAGGATGACTCCAAGCTATCAGATTGCAGGTTCAGAGCAACCCTAAACCCTAAACCCTAAACCCTTAACCCCCAGCCCTAAAACCTAAACCCTAAACCCTAAACCCTAAAACCCTAAACCCTAAACCCTAAACCCTAAACCCCAAACCCTAAGCCCTAAACCCTAAACCCTAAACCCTAAACCCTAAGCCCTAAGCCCAAAGGTGCAGCTCCCTCACTTAGGGGCTGGGGAGGTAACCTTTAGCCTTCTTGGCTTTATAGAATCCTAAAACGTGGTTAATTTTAGGGTTTAGGGTTTAGGGTTTAGGGCCTAGGGTTTGGGGTTTAGGGTTTAGGGTTTAGGGTTTGGGCTAGGGTATTCAGCCCCTAAGCTCAAGTGACGCCACGCGATAGGTTCTTCCGGGTTTCGTTCAATACCCTGATTAGGGTGTAGGGTTTAGGGTTTAGGGTTTAGATGCCATGACGCCGGAGGGCTCCGTGAAGCTACACAGGGTGCCTGTTCAGGAACTCATCGAAAACTTCGAACGCTTTTGACTCCTGTTTATGCTTTTACCGCCCTATAACATGCTCAAAATACAAGCTATACCAGCCATACCAAAGCCTCAACCCCTGAACCCTTAAGCCGGGAAAACATGACCTCAAACCTTACAAGCCCTAAAGCCCTAAAGCCCTAAACCCCTGAACCCCTAAACCCCTAAAGCCCACCCCCAAGCCCTGAACCTCTGAAACCCTAAAACCCTGAGACCCTATTATGAAGGGGAGCCTCACGGAGTCAGGCTCACCCCTCGAGCGGGGAAGATGCCCCTTGGCCGGCCTTGCGGGCTGGGGCGGGGTTTCGGGTTTGGGGTTTCGGGTTTAGGGCCCAGGGTCAGTAGGACTTTGGGTCCTCATCATGGTTTCGAATTCTAAGGCTTTTAGGCCAGTGGCTTTAGTTCAGAGTTTTGAGATTCTTAGGATTAGTTCGGACGGAGGGCTTTTTGTTTGTTTCTCCCGTTCTTTTTGTCGTTGGTACCTAAACCCGAAACCCGAAACCCTAAACCCTAAACCCTAAACCCTAAACCCTAAACCCTAAACCCTAAACCCTAAACCCTAAACCCTAAACCCTAAACCCTAAACCCTAAACCCTAAACCCTAAACCCTAAACCCTAAACCCTAAACCCTAAACCCTAAACCCTAAACCCTAAACCCTAAACCCTAAACCCTAAACCCTAACCCGGTGTCTGATCGGGTCTCCTGGGCCCTGGTCCGACACCCGCAGAGAGTCTGGCCAAAGTCTCCCTGGAGTGCCCACCCCCGGTTTAGGGTTTAGGGTTTCGGGTTTCGGGTTTAGGGTTTAGGGTTTAGGGTTTAGGGTTTGACCCTGGAGTGCCTAAGCGGTCCCGCCAAGCAGCCCTCGAAGGGGGAGGGCTCCTTCCCACAGCCATCCAGCACCCCTAACCCTAAACCCTAAACCCTGAACCCTAAACCCCAAACCCTAAAACCCTCAGACCCTCCATTTAAGAGCAGCGACGAGAGAGGCCTTTCCATGATTCTCAAGGCTTCAGGGTAGCGATGGCGGGTTGGAGGGTTTAGGGTTTAGGGTGCAGCCCTAAACCCTAAACCCTAAACCCTACACCCTAGACCCTAAGCCCTATATCCTCAGCCCTAACCCCTTAAACCCACCCACCCACCCGCCCCCGAGCCCAGATCCCCCACGCTCTCCCGAAGCAAAAGTTTAGGGTTTAGGGTTTAGGGTTTAGGGTTTAGGGTTTAGGGTTTAGGGTTTAGGGTTTAGGGTTCAGGGTTTAGGGCAGCTTGTGTACAAATCATGAGATTCCAAGCCGCCCCCAAGCCAAGAGAGCAGCACATATGTGACTCATAAGGTCCTGAACCCTTTAACTTAAGCAAAGTTGATATCTACATCATAAGTAAACCCTGAACCCTGAAACCTGAACCCTGAACCCTGAACCCTGAACCCTGAACCCTGAACCCTGAACCCTGAACCCTAAACCCTAAACCCTAAACCCTAAACCCTCTCCACGGAAAACAGCACGAAACGTCTGTGCCAGGCCGGGTCCACAGGCACAGCCGGGTGGAGTCGGCGAGGGTTTAGGGTTTAGGGTTTAGGGTTTAGGGTTTAGGATTTAGGATTTAGGGTTTAGGGTTTAGGGTTTAGGGTTCAGGGTTCAGGGTTCAGGGTTTAGGGTGGAGCGTAGCAGGATCCGCTCTATTCCGCGGATCTTCGATGCTTACAAGTCGAACACTCCCCCGAAGTACCCTGGAATCGAAACTCCAACCCTAAACCACCCTACTCCCGGCCCAGCCCAGACTGTAAACTGCACGTTCCCGGCCTGCAAGATGGCATCCTAAACCCGAAATTCTTAAGACTCTCAAAACCCTCAAAACCCGTAAGACCCTGAAAACCCTGAAGCCCTTAAAACCCGACAACCCCTTACAACCTTTAAAGCCCTAAGAACCCTACAACCCTAAACCCTAAACCCTAAACCCTAAACCCTCAACCCTCAACCCTCAACCCTCAACCCTCAACCCTCAACCCTCAACCCTCAACCCTCAACCCTCAACCCTTTGCGAAAAGGCACCTCCACCACGTCCGTCGCGCCGGGGTCTGCTCCATCGCCGGCGGCGGCTCCGTCGCCGGCAGCCACCGAGCCATTTCACCAAAGTACCTGGGCACAGGGTTTGGGGTTTAGGGTTTAGGGTTTAGGGTTTAGGGTTTAGGGTTTAGGGTTTAGGGTTTAGGGTTTAGGGTTTAGAGCTGGTTCATTGTTCAGAGTTCAGGGTTTTGGGTGTAGGGTCTTTAGGGCCCTAATCCCTAGTGCTAACCCGCATGTCCATTCTCTTTGGGAATGTTGAAGAAGTAGTGACTTAGTAGGTAATTGGAGGATGTCAAGCTCGAGGAATACATTAATACCGAGTTTTTGGATAGCTGGCAACTAGTTTGTTGCTATGAAGTATTGATCATTAAGGCTTTATTGGTAAATACTTAACTACTACGATCGACTAGTACTCGCAGCGAATCCTTTGCCTTACCTTCTGGGCCCTTTCGGGGCTCCAATAAGCCGTAAACCCTAAACCCTAAACCCTAAACCCTCAACCCTCAACCCTCAACCCTAAACCCTAAACCTTAAACTCTAAACCCTCAACCCTCAACCCTAAACCCTAAACCCTAAACCCTCAACCCTCAACCCTAAACCCTAAACCCTAAACTGCCGAGAGCGCCGCTGTCCATTTACATGGGCGCTCGAGGCTTCGACCGAGGTCCCCGACCGAGCGTCTCCGGGAGGGTAAAGCCTCCCGGTAGACGGGGCCTGCAGTGCCTAGCTACGCCTCAGACCCTAGGGCGTCAGCCCTTGTTTAATTAGGACCCCAAACCCCGAGCCGTTGATGTGATTTTGGTTTTTTTAGGGGGTCGGAGGGTACCCCCCGGCCGGGGTCTGGGCCCCGCAAAAATAAGACCCTCCATCTGATTCCTGGCACAATTCTGAGACCCCCCTGACACCCCGCCCTCCGCAACCTCCCTGGCACCCTTCTTGGGACTCCCTTCCCCTGCCTGGATGTAGGCTCCACAAAGCTCTGTAAAAAGCAAGAAAGCCCCCCTTGAGGGGGGTTTGGGGGGTGAACCCTAAACCCGAAATGAGAATAGTTTGGGTGGTTGGGGTGGGACTACATGCTAACGCAAGCGAGCGGCCCGGGTGCTTTTAGCACCAGCGAGCTTCCATTCTATACACCCTAAGCCCTAAACCCTACACCCTAAATCCTAAACCATAAGCCCTAAGCCCTAAACCCTAAACCCTAAACCCTAAACCTTAAACCTTAAACCCTAAACCCTAAACCCTAACCCTAAACCCTAAACCCTGAACCCTAAACCCCAAACACCAGGTTACCCCCCGTGAACAAACCCTCACGGCGTGCCCGAACAGCCTTCTCAGGCCAGGTGATACGGTGTCTTCGAGCATTTGGGTTGAGGGCTTATAGGGCTTATCAGGAGTCTCACACCCTACAAACCTTTGGGGTTTAGGGGCTAGGGTTTAGGGATTATAGGCTTTAGGTATAAATCCTAAACCCTAAACCCGAAGCCCATCGCCATCTGCCCAGGCATCAACCCCTTCAACCCGTTCCGCAACCCCTTCTTCAACCCCTTCGTCCCGAACCCCTACGCGCCGTTCGGCAGCTCAGGTGGGGCGCGGCTCTGTGGGGGGGGGGGTGTCAGGGTTTAGGGGTTTAGGGTTTAGGGTTTTAGGTTTTAGGCTAAAGTTTTAGGGTTCAGGGTCTAGGGTTTAGGGTTTAGGGTTCCCTGAACCTTAAACCCTAAATCCACATGGGGGTTCACGATATTCGGGGTACCTGATTGGGGTCCTTATTAAAACGGGATCCTCCTCTTTGGCGGTCTATATTCGGGTCCCCATTGTCGTAAACCCTCAAGCCGCGTCTTTCTACTTAGGGGGAGGGCTCAGAAACAAGAGGGGTTTAATTTAAGGTACACCCTTGCTCTCAATGCGACTGGCCGTCCACTACGGATGTGGCCTGAAACCTAAACCCTAGACCCTGAACCCTGAACCCTAGGTTTGGGATGGATTGCGGATTGGCCTTTCCAGTCTGAGAAACTTGCGGGGCTTGGGGATTTTGGTTTTTGGGGACGAGAAGAAACGGAGCCAAAAGGATAGCCTAAACGCTAACCCTTAACCCTAAACGCCCTAAACCCTAAGCCCAAAGCCCTAAACCCCAAGCCCTAAACCCTAAACGCCCTAAATCCTAAACCCTAAACCCTAAACCCTAAACCCTAAACCCTAAACGCCCTAAACGCCCGACAGAAGTGCCAGCTCTCAATGCACGCAGTGGCACGCAGGCGGCGGAGGCGGCGGGTTGCGGCCTCGGCCAGGGTTTAGGGGTTTGGGGGTCTGGGGGGTTAGGGGTTTAGGGTTCAGGGTTTAGGGTTTAGCGTTTAGGGTTTAGGGTTTAGGGTTTAGGGTTTTGGGGTTCCGGGGGCTCTTGGTTTAGGGACTTTGCGATTTTCGGTCTCTTGGTTCAGGGGCTTGAGAGGCTGTGGGGTCTTTTAGGGGGTTCAGGAAAGTCGGGTGCTCAGTAATTATACACCTTTCTGTTTTCAAGGGTGCTAGGGTTTAGGGTGACCCTAAACCCTAAACCCTATACCCTATACCCTAAACCCTAACCCCTAAACCCTAAACCCTAAACCCTACACCCTAAACCGTGTCATTTTTTGTGTTTCGCGTCTTGCAGTTTTTGGCTTGGGATGCCACCCCCCCCCCCCCCCCTATTGGGTTTTCAGTAGGGGGTACTATTATCCTTAGTTGCTCAGTGAGTTCACTTTACACTTTCTGGGATGCTTGAATCCCCAATAGAACTGAAAGTGTACACTTTTTTGGGGCTCATGAACTCAGCAACTAAGAATCCCTGGGAGCAGATGCTGCCTCTTTTCGAAGAACTGATACTGAGCCTCTTTCTGGTGCGAAATACCGGCCCGTGATTCCAGGCCGAGTCAATGCAGGTATGCGATTTTGGGTTTAGGGTGTCGGGTTTAGGGTTTAGGGTTTCGGGTTTAGGGTTCCGGACCATCCGAGATTATTAAAGCTATGCCCTGTAAATCCCAAGCTAACGCCCTCTAAAGGCTTAGGGGTGAAAATGCAGCTATGGCCCCCCTCCCCCCGAAGCCCACTTAAAAACCCCACAGGGATGTGGGGCTTTTGAAAGGACTTATGGTTCAGGGTTTACTGTTTGGGGTTTAGGGTTCAGGGTTTAGGGTTTAGGGTTTAGGGTTTAGGGGTTAGGGTTTAGGGTTTAGGGTTTAGGGTTTAGGGTCGTTTGGTGACCTACGAGAAGGGGACGAGGGCTTGGGGGACCTGGGGCTTGTTTGGTTGGGGGTTTATAGGGGGTTTATAGGGTTTAGGGTTTAGGGTTTAGGGTTTGGGGTTTAGGGTTTAGGGTTTAGGGTTTAGGGCTTCGGGTTTAGGGTTTCGTGTTTAGGGGGTCGTAAACCCTTAAAGCTCTTAAGGGGTGCAGTGTCAGGCATCGCTTGCCTACGTTCTTCGTCATGCAGGGGCCTGAGCTGTGGCAGGCTGTTTCGGCACCTGTTCGCGACAAAGCTTTCATGAGACCCCAGACCCAAACCCAAACCCATCCCAAAAACCCTAAACCCTAAACCCTAAACCCTAAACCCTAAACCCTAAACCCTAAACCCTGAACCCTAAACCCTAAACCCTAAACCCTAAACCCTAAACCCTGAACCCTGAACCCTAAACCCTGAACCCTGAACCCTGAACCTTAAACCTTAAACTACATAACCGGAGCGAAAAAAGCGAGCCACAGGGAGGGCTGAGAGGATCTTCATGGTGCAGAGCTACACGGGTTCTTGCATGGGTTCAGGGTTTAGGGTTTAGGGTTTAGGGTTTAGGGTTCAGGGTTTAGGGTTTAGGGTTTTTCCCTCTAGACTACCCCCCCTAGGTTACCCCCCTAGGGGGGGTAGTATAAATGGTGGGTAGTAGTGGAGCCCATGGTTCTTGCAGGGCTTTTGCACCTACACCGGAGGGTTCAATTTGTCGGCTCTAGGGTTCAGGGTTTAGGGCGTCGGACATTCGGGTTGAGGGTTTAGGGTTTAGGGTTAGGGTTTCGGGTTGTGGGAAACCCTCGAAGCTGCCAGGCAACCCTGAACTTGCATTAGCAGTCTTGACTTTTTGGGGTTTAGGGTTAAGGGTTTAGGGTTTAGGGTATAGGGTTTAGGGTTTAGGGTTATATGGCGCTTCCGAACCCTGAAAGGGGTGATTCTGGTACGAAAGGGTGCACGGCCCTAAGCCCGAAACCCTAAGCCCGTTTTGGGAACCTCCTTGTGAGCGACATTGGCCCTGGCGCTTAAATTTAGGGACACTGTGCGGGACCCCTAGAAAGGCCATGAATCCTAGACCCGAAGCCCTATATCCTAAGTAGTTTTCCTTGGGCTATTGGGCCAAAATAGCCCCAAACCCCTGAGTTTCTTTCATGTCGATTTCAGTCCATGTGCACCTCCTGAGTGGCGCAAGCGTGACTTTGGCAACAGAGCCGGAAGAGTCCGTCACCTGCTTGTGCCAAAGAGCCCAGGACGCTCTAAAGGTTGGCAAGGGAAGGCTGCTGACTACCTCTGGAGAGACGCTAGCTGGAGGTACAGTGAGGCGAGCACGTTTACGAGACAACGACTTGCTGACCCTTCCGTCGGACAGGTTCGAATCAGGGCTTCGCGTGGATTCGCCTTTGCTGCTTTGCTGGGTGACGGATCTGTGGTGACCTGGGGCGTTGCTGTGTCCGGAGGCGACAGCAGTGCCGTACAAGATCAGCTCAAGAACGTGCAGCAGGTGCAAGCTTCTGAACGGGCGTTTGCTGCGATCTTGGCTGATGGATCTGTGGTGACCTGGGGTCGTGCTGAATACGGCGGCGACAGCAGCGCCGTACAAGATCAGCTCAGGAACGTGCAGCAGGTGCAAGCTTCTGAACGGGCGTTTGCTGCGATCCGGGCTGATGGCTCTGTGGTGAGCTGGAACGATGCTGAATACGGAGGCGACAGCAGTGCCGTACAAGATCAGCTCAAGAACGTGCAGCAGGTGCAAGCTTCTGCAGGGGCGTTTGCTGCGATTTTGGCTGATGGATCTGTGGTTACCTGGGGTCCTGCTTATTATGGAGGCGACAGCAGCGTCGTACAAGATCAGCTCAAGAACGTGCAGCAGGTGCAGGCTTGTAACAGGGCGTTTGCTGCGATCCGGGTTGATGGATCTGTTGTGACTTGGGGCCATGCTGTTTTTGGAGGCAACAGCAGTGCCGTACAAGATCAGCTCAAGAACGTGCAGCAGGTGCAAGCTTCTCGTGGGGCCTTTGCCGCGGTTTTGGCTGATGGATCTGTGGTGACTTGGGGCTATGCTGGCTTAGGCGGCGACAGCAGTGCCGTACAAGATCAGCTCAAGAACGTGCAGCAGGTGCAGGCTTCTAACGGGGCGTTTGCTGCGATCCGGGCTGATGGATCTGTGGTGAGCTTTGGCGATGATGAACGTGGAGGCGACAGCAGTGCCGTACAAGATCAGCTCAAGAACGTGCAGCAGGTGCAAGTTTCTGAACGGGCGTTTCCTGCGATTTCGGCTGATGGATCTGTGGTGGCCTGGGGCGATGCTGAATACGGAGGCGACAGCAGTGCCGTACAAGATCAGCTCAAGAACGTGCAGCAGGTGCAGGCTTGTAACGGGATGTTTGCTGCGATCCGGGCTGATGGATCTGTGGTGACCTGGGGCGATGCTGAAGACGGAGGCGACAGCAGTGCCGTACAAGATCAGCTCAAGAACGTGCAGCAGGTGCAGGCTTGTAACGGGGCGTTTGCTGCGATCCGGGCTGATGGATCTGTGGTGACCTGGGGCCGTGCTGAATACGGCGGCGACAGCAGCGCCGTACAAGATCAGCTCAGGAACGTGCAGCTTCTGAACGGGCGTTTGCTGCGATCCGGGCTGATGGCTCTGTGGTGAGCTGGAACGATGCTGAATACGGAACAGCAGTGTATTCCGCTGAAGGAGGAGAATTCTAGCCAGTTATCAGAGCAACCCTAAACCCTGAACCCTGAACCCAGAGCCCTAAGCCCTAAGCCCTAAGCCCTAAGCCCTAAGCCCTAAGCCGTAAACCCAAAGGACCCTTCAAAGGTGGATGGATGGCCGTGAGGTTCAGTGATTCGGTGCTTTAAATGTCGTGGGCAAGGCGCAACATTTTGTTTGGGCTTTGGTTTGCGGGACAGTCCTGCGTTTGGGCCTTTCGGGTCTCCTTTTAGCCCTGCGCCCAAAGGCGCACTACCAGATGGCGGCGTTTTCCCATATGAACCTAAACCGGTCAAGTCTCAGATCAGGGCTTCGGGAGCCAAACCATTTCTAGATTCCTCGTGTCGGGTTCAGGGTTCAGGGTTTGGGAGTGTAGGTCAGCGAACTGCCCCGAGGTTCATCGTCGTGGTGGTGATTGCGCGGCGCCCAGTCTTTTTTCGCACCGAATTCCTCACCCCTAAACCTGAACCCTCCGAACTCCCCAAAGCCTCCAAATCCTGGCGCCTAAACGCAAGCATTCAGAGACCCGAAGTACCCACAACACGGCACCAAAAGCCCATACCCTAAACCCTCAACTAACCCTAATCCCTAAACCCTAAACTCCAAACTAACCCTAAACCCCAACCCCTAAACCCTAAACCCCAAAGCCCAACCCCAACCTTCCTCGAGACCCTTAAAGCTGCTTGGAGGTCCATGGTAGTGACTAAACCCTAAACCCTAAACCCTAAACCCTGAACCCTAAACCCTAAACCCTAAACCCTATAAACCCTAGTCCGGAATCCTTAGCAGCTACCCCTGAACCCGCAAGTGCAGGTCGTAGTCGTGGGGCTGTGCAACGGCGTTTTCGACGACGAGGAGGAGGAGTCCAGCCGGGGCCCTGCTTCCATAGGGTGTAGGGTTTAGGGTTTAGGGTTTAGGGTTTAGGGTTTGGGGTTTAGGGTTTAGGGTTTGGGGTTTGGGGTTTGGGGTTTGGAGTTCTAGACTTCTAGGGTTTAGGGTTTAGGGTTTTAGGGGTATTTGGTTTAGAGTTTAGGGGTTTGGCGTTTAGGGCTCTAGGGTCCAGGGTTTCGGCTTCAGGGCTTTAGGGTTGAGGGATTGAGGGTAAGGGGTGCTAGGGTTTAGGGCGTGAAGCTTGGGGTTCTAGGGTTTCATATGGTTCTAGGGTTTAGGGTTTGGGTTCTAGGGTTCTAGGTTTCTAGGCCTCTGGCATTTGGCGTTTAGGCCTTAGGGCTTAGGGTTTGGGATTTGGGGTTTGTTGTTTTGGGATTTTTGGTTTGGGGTTTGGGAGTTGGGGCGTATGGTTTAGGGTTTAGGGTTCATGAGGGTGCAGAGTTTCAGGTCAGTAACCCAGGTGAAGAAAGGGTAAAGGTTTAGAGACTGGGGTCATATAAGCCTGAAGAACCTGAGAAGCATGAACCCCGAACTGTCGGGAGTTTGGGGTTCAGGGTGTAGGCTGTAAAACCCCTCAAGCCTAAACCCTAAACCCTAAACCCGAAACCCTGAACCCTAAACCCTAAACCTTGAGGCCCGAAGCAGTTGGGGTTCGGGGGGAACGGCCGCACCCTCGCCTAGCCATGTAAGTCCAATTTGTTTTGGGCGTCACGGTCCAGGGTTTAGGGTTCAGGGTTTAGGGTTTAGGGCTTAGGGTATAGGATTTAGGGTTTAGAGGCTGACGCATTGGGTCAGCCTAGCACACTGACACACGCATCAGAGCTCAATCCTAGACCCTAACCCTAAACCCTAAACCCAGATATCAGAGGTAATTCTAAACCCTAATATCCTAACACCCTAAACCCTAAACCTTAAAACCCTGCAACCCTACTACGCCAACACCCAAAGCGAAAGCTGCCGTCCTCTAAGGCGGTGATGATGATGGGTGCTCCTGGCGGCTTCGTGGTTTAGGGTTTAGAGTTCAGGGTTCTTCTTGGAGGCTCATGGTACTTAGAGAACCCAATTACAACTGTACTTTTCACCCACTTAGAAGCCCCGGAAGTGCCCTAATGTTATATTTGGGTTATATGTACAGTTATAATTTGGTTTCTAAACCCCAAACTCCAAACCCCAAACCCCAAACCCCAAACCCTAAACCCTAAACCCTAAACCCTAAACCCTAAACCCTAAACCCTAAACCCTAAACATGAGCCTCCAAGTAGGCAGGTCAGGGTGCTCATGTAGCGTGTTCTACAAGGTCGCTGCCGCAGAAATTGGGCAGCAGACTTTACGTTAGCCCTGGGTTTAGGGTTTAGGGTTTAGGGTTTAGGGTTTGGGCCCTGAACCCCTAAGACCCTCCAGCCCTTAAACCTTAATCCCTACACCCTAAAACCAAAAAAACCTAAGCCCTAAAACCCTTAAAACCCTTAAACACCCTTAAAACCCTTAAAGCCCTTACAACCCCTTAAAGCCCTTAAAACCCTTTAAAGCCCTTGAAGCTCTCAAGCTGTAGCCTGCTGGAGCCAGGGGCATCCGTGGGCGACGGAGACGGGAGCGCATCCGCGACGCCCGGGGCCCCGCCGTGCGGCAGATTCCTGTTTTTCGCCGGGGGAGGGATGTTTTTTTTTTGTTTAGGGGCTTAGGGTTTAGGGCGGGCTCAAGGGTTTAGGGTTTAGGGTTGGGGGAGGGGGTTTTGGGTTCGTTGTTGGGTTTTTAGGGGGTTTAGCGTTTAGGGCTTTTCGGGTGTTTTGGGGTTTTTAGGGTTTTTGGGGGTTTTTGGTTTAGGGTTCATGGCTTTCAGGGTTGTTAGGGGTGTAGGGGCTTAGGGGCTTAGGGTTTGGGTTTAGGGGTTCAAGGGTTCAGGGTACCCTCAACCCTGTCAAACAGGTCAAGCCAAAAGCTGGCAGCGTTGACTGCGCAGCACACACTCAGACCCAAGCCCCTAAGCCCCTAAGCCCTAAGCCCTAAGCCCTAAACCCTAAACCCTAAACCCTAAACCCTAAACCCTAAACCCTAAGCTCAGATGCCCAGACATTCAGATGTAGACTTGCCGGTCGGCGTGTCTGGTCTCGCCATCTTTCTGGCCTTCAAGAGTTTATCAGATGGGTTTAGGGTTTAGGGTTTAGGGTTTAGGGTGTAGGGTTTAGGGTTTAGGGTGTAGGGTTTAGGGTTTAGGGTTTAGGCCTGGTAAGACTTTTTTCAGATAGTCTTGAGCGTCTAACTGTCTGACTTGCCACCTCGAAGAGTTCGCAGATCAACCTGATTGTCGAGCTTTCTACTTGACTGCCTGTTCTGAGGCAAAAAAATGATGAAGCGTCCAAACATTGCAACTAATCCAGAGGGCCCTTCAAGCATCCCAAATCCAGTCCTGCAAACTTCCGTGTTTGACAGCCTGAGTAAGTGAATGTCTGACCGTCTGATTGTCTTTTTTTCCACGCGCCCCATTTGCAGGTTCTTTCAGGTGTTAGGGTGTGAGGTTTAGGGGTTGGGGGGGGGGTTAGGGGTGTCGGGGTTGAATGATGGGTTTAGGGCAAACCACAAGCCCTAAACCCTAAACCAAAAATCCTAAACCCTAAGCCCTAAACCCTAAACCCTAAGCCCTAAAACCTAAACCCTAACCCCTAAACCCTAAACCCTAAACCCTAAACCCTAAACCCTAAACCCTAAACCCTAAACCCTAAACCCTAAGCCCTAAACCCTAAACCCTAAACCCTTAACCCTAAACCCTTAACCCTAAACCTAAACCCTAAACCCTAAACCCTAAACCCTAAACCCTAAACCCTAAACCCTAAACCCTGAAGCGGGCTTTTAGGGTTTGGGGGGTCTATGGCTGTCTGGTGCGCTGGTATGTTACAAGGCCTGCAGGATTCTGGGCAATCCAACACAGTGTTGGCGCTTCGAGGTTTCATAGGTTCAGCTACTATTGGTTGAATAATCCCCCAAAACATGTCAGATAATACTCCCTCATGTGGTCCTTTGTAAGGAGTATTTTTATTTTTTTTTCTTTGGGGGGGGGGGGGTTCTTCAGCACTTTGTAGAAGCCCTAGAAGCCCTTCAGGACCCCAGACGCCCTAAAGACCCTCAAATACCTCAACGACCCTAAACGACCCTAAAGCCCCACAAGGCCCCCCGAAAACCCCAAAAAGCCGGGAAAGCCCGAACTTAGGGGGTTTAAGGGTTTCAGAGTGTAAGTCTTTAAGGCTTTAAGGGTTTACGGGTTTAGGGTTCCCAAGTGTTTAAGGGTTTCAGGGTTGGGGGCTTCGGGCTCCCGAAACAGACGCGCTGGTTCCTCCCATCGGAGAGCCACCCTAAACCCTAAACCCTAAACCCTCAACCCTCAACCCTCAACCCTAAATCCTAAACCCTAAACCCTAAACCCTAGACCCTAGACCCTAAACCCTAAACCCTAAACCCCTGAGGCCATCGTCCACGGCGAGGGTCGGAAAGGGCCCCTGGGCTGGTGCTGCTGCCGGGAGCCCGGCCCGTACTTTGGGGTTTTGGGGCCTTACTGTGGGGGGTTTTGGGGGGTTTTGGGCGGCTTAGGGCGGTTTAGGGGGGTTTAGGGGGTTTAGGGGCTGTTAGAGGGTTTAGGGGGTCCAGGAGGTTTAGGGGTTTGGGGGGGCTTTAGGAGATTCGGGGTGCTTTTAGGGCTTCACTCGGTGTGGGGTTGTCCCAGAGGTTTTCCTAGAGTGTGAGCCCAACCGTGCCCAACTCGAAGGGAGGATAAGGGGGACCCTTACGAGGAACCCTTCGTAACCCTCTTCTGGCTCTCTTAAACAGGGACCTTATTCAGAGCGTCCAAAACCCCAAGGGTCCCCGTAATCCTATCCCCTACCAACCCTAGAGGTGTACCCCTAAACCCACTTAGGGCGTAGGGATAGATAATTAGGGTTAAGGGTTTATGGCTCAACCCCCAGTCCCAAGCACCCTATGCACCCGAATCCCCCGAACGTTCAAACATCCAACAGCCGAAAGGGCCCCAAGTGTCTAAGAGGCTACACTTCTACTACCCCTAAACCCTAAACCCTAAACCTTAAACCCTAAACCCCCAACCCTAAACCTTAGACCCTAAACCCTAAACCCTAAACCCTAAACCCTGAACCCTAAACCCTAAACCCTAAACCCTGGGTCACACTATGCAGGTGGCATCTGCGGCATCTGCTCGCGAACGGCTGCTCTGACAGCAGTCAGAAGTTCTGCCGGATTGGGGTTTAGGGTTTAGGGTTTAGGGTTTAGGGTTTAGGGTTTAGGGTTTAGGGTTTAGGGTTTAGGGTTCTTCTTGCTGAGTTTTTAGGGTGCAGGGGTTCGCTACTCGATAGTTGGTTTTAGGGAATGAGGGAATGAAGTACTTGAAACACCCCACCCCCCCATGCAACTCTTCGAGCAATAACACAAGGACTTTGATTTTTCAAACGCTCCAGCAAGTCTACGCAGGCTTCAGGTGTTTGCCCTAAACCCTAAACCCTAAGGTACGGATTCTTCTTTGAAGAGTAGAGGGCTGGGATTGATATGCCTGGGCTGGAGTTAGGTGTTTCAACGGCCCTCAAAGCCCCTAGGGTGTAGGGTTTATGGTCGAGGGTTTAGGATTTGGGTGTTCAAGGTCCCAAAGCAACCTCCTCGGTTTAGGGTTTAGGGTTTAGGGTTTAGGGTTTAGGGTTTAGGGTTTAGGGTTTAGGGTTTAGGGTTTAGGGTTTAGGGTTTAGGGTTTAGGGTTTAGGGTTTAGGGTTTAGGGTTTAGGGTTTAGGGTTTAGGGTTTAGGGTTTAGGGTTTAGGGTTTAGGGTTTAGGGTTTAGGGTTTAGGGTCCAAGAAGCTTCTTTTTTTTTGCACCTTCGAGCGGTCTGAGGTCATTCTGTTCTTTCTCTGCGTTGCCTGCTCAGCTGTCAGCTTTTGCTCTCGGGTTTGGGGTTTAGGGGGCCCTCAATGCCCTAAGCATGCTTCTCCCAAACAGGGTTCAGGGTTTAGGGTCTGGGGTGACTCCTAACCTCCTATTTTGAGATGCTAGAACTCACATACTTTGTAAAGCATAGCACGCACAACATAGCTACTACAACCATCGTTATCAGCAGGTACTTAGCATCAGCAGAATCACCAATCGAACACGCATCACTCACATAATTAAAGCCACCAGAATCCCAATCCTTCTAGCTTTTCAAGCTCCTACAGTAAGTCTGAATTAGCTTCCTTTGTGACAACAATAATAGCTGGTTTAGGGTTCCAGGTTTAGGTTTCAGGAGAAAACTTCCCATGAACGAGGTTTCGGAGGAGGCAACATGATTCCCGCACATAGAAGAAGTTCAAGCCCTACTGCTTTCACCTCCCCCCCACATGAAAACAAAAGTTGGTTTAACACGGAATATTGCATGTAGCTGATATACCTTGCACCACGAATAAGATTCAACCTTCGAAGTCTTCATCCGTGTCCAAATCTGTATGGCAAACCTCATACAACAACATGCAGCAAGGTTGTGATTAACCCGCCTCAAGATTAAGGATTCAGGGTTGAGGGTTTATGCTTTCAGGGTTCAGGTTTAAGTAATCGGCTTTATCATCATGGACAGAAGACAAAGTAAGTTCTGTAGGATGTTTTGAGAGTTGTTGGTGCGAAACCCTAAACCCTAAACCCTAAACCCTAAACCCTAAACCCTAAACCCTAAACCCTGAACCCTAAACCCTAAACCCTGGACCTATGTACTTTCGGGCCACCGGATTGTTCATGAGAGGTGGCTCGTTGCTGATCTATGTCCTATTTCTTGAGCCACAGCCTTCAGGTTGAGAGCTTAGGGCTTAGGGTTTAGGGTTTAGGGTTTAGGGTTTAGGGTTTGGGGTTTGGGGCTTAGGGTTCAGGGTTCAGGGTTTAGGGTTTAGGGTTTAGGGTTAGGGCATACAGGGAAGCTCCAGAACCCTGAACCCTGAAAAGTCCTTAGGATCCCTAGGAACCCGGGTAGCCATTTTGGCACAAGTCCGCGCTGTTTGTCTGACAACTAGGGCACCTATCCTTGCAACAAATTCCCTGCTGTTTGCTTAAGAACCCCCCAAAAACAAAGATAGCAATCCCTATTTTGCTTTTATGCGGAAGAATATTTTTTCGGGGGGTTCTTAAGCAAAAACAGCAGCTCAGTCTGTGCCATGACATGGGTTCCCTCACGTGCGGTCTTCGCCTTTCACCTTCTTCTGGTGGGTGGAGAGGCTGGTCGAGCAGTGAGGGAGCACAGCACCGGCACGACCTGCTGCATTCCGCCGCGCACCTCCTGGACAGCTGAGCAGATGCTGGAGATTTACAAGTTCGTTTTGTACCACCCCGCAACCTCGAGTCGCACGGAGCGCGAAGAAAATGCCAAGGAGCTTTGGGAAGCAGTCAACCTCGGCAGCAAGGTAGGTCCGGTGGACATGTCTGAAAATGCACAAGAGCACTGGCTGGCGGACTCCCAACAGGTCGCAGATTCTGCGCGGCTGGCAGAAGCTTTCGTGAAGCAGAGCACTCAGAGCTCATTCACGACCGAAGACTACTGGTTCCAGCAGCACGAGTGCCTCGCCGGGGTCTTCCTCGAGCGCGTGGAGGACGCCTGGCTCAAGCGATGGCGCTGCGACGAGGGCAACCTGCAAGTCGCTTGGCTGAGTGTGCTCCAGGCCGAAAACGCATATTCTTCACAGGAGGTTTGGGCAGATGTGGCGCACATTCGAAGCACGAACCTTAGGGACACTTGGGAATAGTTTCTAATTTTTGGGCACTACCATTCCTAAGAAACAGAAAGAATCACAATGTTTTGCTAGGGTTCCAAGCTCAGTTAAGGAACAACGACATCTTGGAACGCAACGCGAAGGCGCAGGCTGAGCTGGCGAAGTTCGGGGACACTTACTTAGCCAATAGTTGAACGTTAATCCTTTTGGGTTTCCTTACTTGGTGCCCTAAACCCTAAACCCTAACCCTAAACCCTAAGCCCTAAGCCCTAAACCCTAAACCCTAAACCCTAAACCCTAAACCCTAAACCCTAAACCCTAAACCCTAAACCCCAAACCCCAAACCCTAAACCGAGGACATCTACACCGCCCAGGCCCACGAGGCGCAGGGGAGGTTCCAAGCGACGGCGGAGAAGCTTCGTGAGCTCCAGCAGCAGCAAACGCACTTACAGACGCGAGCATAGGGTTTAGGGTTTAGGGTTTAGGGTTTAGGGTTTAGGGTTTAGGGTTTAGGGTTTAGGGTTTAGGGTTTAGGGTTTAGGGTTTAGGGTTTAGGGCTAGGGTTTAGGGTTTAGGGTTTAGGGGGTTGAGGGTTTGGAGGGGTGTAGGGTTTAGGAAGGTTTAACGACTAAACGATACCTAGTTTCTATCGTCGCAGTAACGTGGACCAGCCGTGAAAAGAGTCGGATCTTGAATTTCTTTGTTCTCTTTGTTGAAGAGGGAACACGCAAGAGATTCTTTCAGTGAGGGTGGTGTGAGGGTGGTGCTTGATCTCAGGCCCGAAACTCACAAACAGCTCTCGCAGCACGGGATTGCAGGTGCTTAGGGTTTAAGCCCTAAACCCCAAACCCCAAACCCTAAACCCCAAACCCTAAACCCCAAACCCTAAACCCCAAACCCCAAACCCTAAACCCTAAACCCTAAGGTTGAGGGCAACCCTGACTTCACGAACAGCTCTTGCAAAGTTTCCCAGTTGCTCACGACATCTGAATTTGAAAAGAATGACTTGTGGATACTCAGGCAGTCGAAGCAGTTCCACTAAGCTCTAAACACTAAAACCCCAAACCCCCAAACCCTAAACTGGGCGTAGAGTTCAGGGCTTACGGCTTGGGTCCACTTAGGGCCTTCGGACGACTTAGGCGTCAACCTAAACCCTCAACCCTAAACCCTAAACCCCAAACCCCAAACCGTAAACCCTAAACCCTAAACCCTAAACCCTAAACCCCAAACCCAAACCCCAGACCTTTCCGTTGACCACACGGTCGAGGCCCTGCTGTTTACCTGCATTGGCGGGGCGGTGCTCTGGAACAGCGCCGAGAGCCAAGCTAGCTCATGAGTGGGCTATGGGTACCTAGGGGTTCGGGTTTAGGGTTTAGGGTAGGTAGGCCCTTGGGATTTTGTTATATATATATATATATATATGTTGCATATTTTTTCCCTCAATTCTTGGGTTGAAACGGATCATATTGAGGAATAGTTTTCAGAGGGTTTGAAGGGCCATCCTAGGTATGGGAGTCAGGCGTGGGGCTTACGGCTTGGGAGCGTTTTTTGCGGTTTAGGGTTCAGGGTTCAGGGTTTTGGATTCAGGGTCTAGGGCTGCGGGATTGGGGTTGCGTTTAGGGTCTGGGTGTTGTGGGAGGCGTTAAGACCTTGAACTGCCCTCTCGGCTGCAGGGATGAAGGCTTTCTCATGAGGGCTGGCTTCGGGTAGCGCGTAGTAAAGGGCTCGAGGGCTTGAGGTCTATTAGGGGCTTTGGGTGTAGGCTTTGTAAGGGTTTAGGGTTTAGGGCGTAGGGTTTAGGGGTACTCTATAAGCCCTAAGCAACCCTAAGACCTCAACCCTAAACTCTCTAACTTAAGGGGTAAAAGGAGGGACCAACCCTAAACCCCAAACCCTAAACCCTAAACCCTAAACCCTAAACCCGAAACCCTAAGCCCCGAAAAAACCCTAAGGGTCCCTTATCAGCATGCCTCCTTTAGTCAATTGACGAAGCCACCAATGTACAACTTTAAGACTTAAGACTTAAGCCCTAAACCCTAAACCCTAAACCCTACACCCGAAACCCTAAACCCTAAACCCCAAACCCGAAACCCTAAACCCTAAACCCTCTAACTCCGCAAGACTCCCAAATGCCTCCCAGGGTGTCCTACAACCGCTGCTGGCGCAGCTGCCTCTTGGCCCCAGTGTGGCTTGCTTCCTCGGGTTAACGGGGCTAAGAGTTTGGGGTTTAGGGTTTAGGGTTTGGGGTTTCGGGTTTGGGGTTTAGGGTTTGGGGTTTAGGGTTTGGGGTTTGGGGTTTAGGGTTTGGGGTTTAGGGTTTGGGTTGGGGGTTTAGGGTTTGGGGTTTAGGGTTTGGGGTTTAGGATTTGGGGTTTAGGGTTTGGGGTTTGGGGTTTAGGGTTTGGGGTTTAGGGTCTAGGGGTTTAGGGTTTGGGGTTTAGGGTTTGGGGTTTAGAGTTTGGGGTTTTGGGTTTGGGGTTTGGGGTTTGGGGGTTAGGGTTTGGGGTTTAGGGTTTGGGGTTTGGGGTTTAGGGATTAGCCCCAAGCCTTCTCAGCCCGAAACCCTCGACCCTAAACCCTCTTCGACCCCCCCAAGAAAAATGCCGTCACGTCCGAGGCTTCTGTACGGATACATGATCGTGCTGATCGCAGCATTTGCCGAGGGCCCCGGAGTCCGAAGCCCTCAAGGTGTAGGGTTTGGGGTTTTGGGTTTAGGGTGTAGGGTTTAGGGCTTAGGGCTTAGGGTTTAGGGTTTAGGGAGGTTTGGAGATTAGGAGTTCATTGGCTTTGTGTTTAGGTCTAGGCCTTAGGGCCCTTAATCGCACACCATGGTGACTGTCCGCTGCCCCTTCCACCTCCCCGAGTGACATTTGCCGTGGAATGTGACGATGTTTGACGGAAGCTCGTTGCTTTGGCAAGGCGGATGCTTTGTCCAGTGCTCTAAACCCGTAAACCTTAAACCCTAAACCTCGAAGCCCTGAACCCTAAACCCTTAACCCCCTAACCCCAAACCCACACCCTAAGCCCTAAGCCCTAAGCCCTAAGCCCTAAGCCCTAAGCCCTAAGCCCTAAGCCCTAAGCCCTAAGCCCTAAAGCCGAAACCTAAGCCCCAAGCCCTCAGCCCTGAACCCTTAACCCTTAAGCGTAAACCCTAAGCCCTAAGCCCTAAACCCTAAACCCTAAACCCTAAACCCTAAACTCAAGGTGAGCGTGCTGGTGTGGGAGGCGACATCTTCCTTGCGCAAGGCCCCCCGTGTGGATCCGGGATCTGGACGCCGTAGCTTCCCCATACCCTGCAAACCCTAAACCCTAACAGTCTGGGTTTCGGGTTCAGAGTTCAGGGTTCAGGGTTCAGGGTTCAGGGTTTAGGGTTTAGGGTTTAGGGTTTTGGCCTTAGGGTTTAGGGTTAGGGTTTGGGGTTTAGGGTGCGGGTCGAGGGTACCAAACGCAATTCGGGACCTCGATTTTGTTGGGGGACAGAAGGGCCCATGGTTGAGGGTTCGATTCAAAGGTTCTTTGAGGTTTTGTTGCTGCCTTTGGTGTGTGTGTGTGTGTGTGTGTGTGCGCGCGTGCGTGTGTGACCTTCCCTTTTATGGGGGAAATTTTCGGCTCAACTTCCACGCCCCTTTCAACAAAAGGATACCCATTGTACTCCAGGCGTCACCTCGTATGATCCATCGGACCTTCGATTTCGGCCTTCCAGAGGACTGTTTGGGCACAGCCGGGCTTGATGAGCAAACTTGCACGGCGACTGCCGCTTTAGGGTTTAGGGTTTAGGGTTTAGGGTTTAGGGTTCCTTCAAAATTGCCACCGGCCCTGGACTTGGTTCAAGCCCCCTTTTATAAGGGGGCTCCTGATAAAGACGTGAGGGTGAATATGTGGCGCGCCCTGCTGGGGATACCCTAAACCCTAAACCCTAAACCCTAAACCCTAAACCCTAAACCCTAAACCCTAAACCCTAAACCCTAAACCCTAAACCCTAAACCCTAAACCCTAAACCCTAAACCCTAAACCCTAAACCCTGGCCTCAATGGTTTGGGGTTTAGGGTTTGTCGGGATCAGGGTTTATAGGGCGTAGGGTGTATAGGGTTCACCGGGTTTTTAAGGTTTAGGGTTGGGATTTCAGGGCCATTGCAGAGTTTAGAGAGCTTAGAGCATTTAGGGTTCAGGGTTTAGGGGTTTAGAGAATCCAAAAACCCATCCATCCAAACCCCCAGAATTACCAAATCCCCCCACCCCCCTACCAAAATCCGCCCTAAAACCCTATATCTCCGAAAGCCTTAGACACCTAAGCGTCAAAGCCTAAACCCAACAACTCCCTCCAGCCCGAAACTCCTAAACCCAACCCCTCAACCCTCTAAGCCACCCCAAAACCCCCCAAAAGACCCTAAGCCTAAGCCCCTCAACCCCCCCTAAAACCCCCTCTGCAACCCCCTCACCCCAAACCCTAAATTTAAGAGCCTCCGGCTCAAGCCGCCGACCCCGCTGGAGCATAGTTGAAAGGTTTAAACGCGTTCGTTACGTCACAGGATGCCAAAGTTGGTGAGGGGGGGGTAGGGGGGTAGGGGGGGGGGTGGGGGGGGGGGGGGGGGTGGGGGGGGCCTGTGCGAAACCGCCTCTGATCGGTGAGTTTATGCCGTGTGGGTTCCATGGAAAAGCTGCCCGGGGACCCCCCCTACCCCCCCCCCCCCCCCCGCGTTTTGGGGGGGTGAGGAGGGAAAGAGGGAGGTTTTCACCTCCTTTTCCCATCCAACACGCCGCCAGGGTCGGCGGACCAGAAGCCCCTCAACCCTAACCCTAAACCCTAAACCCCAAACCCTAAACCCTAAACCCTAAACCCTCATTGCCAGGCGATCTCACACATCTTCGGGAAGGTGGATCAGGTCGACCAGGCCCTGGGTTGGGTTGAGGCCTTTTTAGGGTTTAAGGTTTAGGGTTTAGGGTTCAGGGCTTTTGCCTTAAACTCTAAACCTCTAGACTCTAAACCCTCAAACCTCCGCACGGAAATGCCTAAACCGCTCACCCTGGCCTTCAAACCCCTTGTTAAGGCTTTGCGGGTGCCCTAAACCCTAAACCCTAAACCCTTAAACCCTAAACCCGAAACCCTAAGCCCTAAGCCCTAAACCCTAAACCCTGCAAGCCCTAAGCCCGTAAATCCACAGACCCTAAGCGAGGCGGCTGAACCGGGTAAATGGCTCAGGGTTTATGGTTTCGGGTTTAGGGCTGGTTTTGGGCTACCTCTTTTTCATGAGGGTTTATGGTTTAGGGTTTAGTGGGGCTGCTTCTTTTCCAGGCACCCGAAACCCAAGACCATAAAACTCCCCAAACCCCCCAAACCCGCCACAAGCGCCCTAAACTCCCCAACCCCCCCCGAACCCCCTAAACCTCCCAAACCCCCTACAACCTCCCAAACCCCCCCCCCCCCCCCGAAACTCCCCCCAACCCCCAAACCCCTAAACCCTAAACCCTAAACCCTAAACCCTAAACCCTAAACCCTAAACCCTAAACCCTAAACCCTAAACCCTAAACCCTAAACCCTAAACCCTAAACCCTAAACCCTAAACCCTAAACCCTAAACCCCCCCCAAACCCACCGAATCCCGGGACCCTCCTGAAAAAACCTTCTTCGCCCAGATCATTCCGAACTGGTGGTCGCCGAAGCCCAGGGCCGTGAACTCAGAGCACTGGTGCGGCTTGGGGTTTAGGGTTTAGGGCTAGGGTTTAGGGCTAGGGTTTAGGGCTTAGGGTCCTAAACCCTCAACCCTCAACCCTAAACCCTAAAACAAAAACCCTCAACCCCAAACCCTGATGGGTTCTCAGCGTCTCGCACAGAAATCCCTTCATAAAGCCTACAGCCTTGATGCCTGTGGCCGCCTTCGGCCCCTCAAAAGCCTCTGCCTAAACCCTAAACCCGGAACCCGAGGCCCGGAACTGCCTCCCCCTCCTTCCCCCCGCTCCTCTGAAGCGCTGTAATTAGGGTTTAGGGTTTAGGGTTTGGGGTTTAGGGTTTAGGGTGTACATACCATACAGCAACAGTATCAGAAACAGCAACGAGTAACAGTACATACACGCATGCACACGCATCCACAATGTACCTAGCCTGCAATGATGTGATAAACGCTATGTTATACTCATATGTAAACCCTAAACCCTAAATCCTAAACCCTAAACCCTAAAACGTAAACCCTGAGCCCTAAACCCTAATACCCCTAAACCCTATGCATGTTACATGTACATGTGCGCATCAAGGAAAGAGTACCTTGACCTCACGTTGGATAGGTCCTGAGTGCCCTCAACCTGACACGCAAAATACACCCTAAACCCGAAACCCTAAACCCTCAACCCTAAAACCCTATAAATCCTTAATACCTAAAGGCCCGAACCCCACTCTCTTCACCTCCCCTCCTTTCCCACCCTAATCCCTAAACCCTAAACCCTAAACCCTAAACCCTAAACCCTGGTTTGCTCAAGCCATTGAGCCCGACAGGGCGACGGCCCGCGCTTCTGATGCTCGCCCGGCTGTGGGCGCGCGAAAAGACGGGGCTCCACGAACCACCTCAGCGCTTGCTTGGAGGTTTAGGGTTTAGGGCCAAGGGTTTAGGGTTTAGGGCCTCAGTGTTTAGGGTTTTAGGTGTAGGGCTTATAGGGTTCAGGGTTGAGGGAGAGGGCTGCTATGGGCACCATAGCCCCCTGACAAACTATGACGTTCTGTTTTTCGTGGATAGAAAGCCCCCCGCCCCCCCACTCCCCAGGGAACGTTGACATCCCGTCATGAAGACGTAGAGGGGAGTGTAGGTAAGGCTTCGCTGAGATCATAGTAGGGGCCTCGTTATCTCCCTATGGTGCCACTTCCAACTTGAAGGGGTGCTTAGGCGTTTCGGGTTGCCGAAATCCAGACCCCCGCTATGCCACACACCGTTTCTAACCCTAAACACCCCCAGACCCTAAACCATAAACCCTAAACCCTAAGCCCTAAACCCTAAACCCTAAACCCAAGGCCTAAAGTCTGCCCTAAACTCTGAAGCCTAAAGCCTAAACCCTGGGCTAGATCCTCAAGCCCGGAAAAGGCTCCGTTTAGGGTCTGGGGCTTAGGGCTTAGGGCTTAGGGCTTAGGGTTTAGGGTTTAGGGTTTAGGGTTTAGGGTTTAGGGTTTAGGGTTTAGGTTTAGGGTTTAGGGTTTAGGGTTTAGGGTTTAGGGCTTGAAGGGGGGGGGGGGGGTGGGTACCTCCCAACACCCCTCAACCCCAAAGCCCCAAACTCAAAATCAGGTCGGGAGGCCGTCGTTGGGGTTTAAGGGTTGAAGGGTTGAAGGGTTTAAGGGTTTAAGGGTTTAAGGGTGTAAGGGTTGAAGGGTTTAAGGGTTTAAGGGTTTAAGGGTTTAAGGGTTTAAGGGTTTAAGGGTTTAAGGGTTTAAGGGTTTAGGGGACGTTTGGTAAGTTAGCCCGTAACCCCTAGTTTCCAAGCAGCTGCACAATTTGAGTTGGCTTCAGCATTCTGGGCCGAACTTAAGGAGCAAAGTTCATGTCACCAAGATGAGAAGTTTCAGCAGAAGTTCTACGACACGACTCAGCTTTAGGTGCTTTTCCTCATACGGTGCCCTGACTTAGGGTGCGTAGCGTGCTCGGCCACTGGGATCGGCGGCTTGTCTCGTGGCCAAGCATGGGTCAGAGCAATCAATGCATGATCATCGAGGACGGGGGCCACGTAAATGGGGCTGAGGTGCGGTCTTCTAGCAACCCCGAAAACACTGGTTTAGGGTTTAGGAGTTTAGGGTTTAGGGTTGAAATTTCTATCCCCAATTAGACCCTAGCTTGAGCCTGGAGAAGAAGAGTGCCAAAAGGTCATTCTGCGCCGACCTGAACGTTGACAAGTCTTGTCTTTAGGCTTGCCCTAAACCCTAAACCCGAAACCCTCGACCCTAAACCTTAAACCCTAAATCCTAAACCCTGGACCTTTTGGGCTTAAGGCTTGGGGTTTGGAGTTTTGGATCTTAGGGTACAGGGCCTAGGTTTTTTTTCGGGCCCCTTGTGGTCTAGCAAGCAGCCCACGTTGAGGGTGATGATGATACTCTCTCCAACCTCAAACCCCCGAACCCCAAACCCTAAACCCTTAACCCCTCAAATCAGTCAGGCGCAAACCCGAAACTCGAGAGCCCGTAAGAACTCGCTAGCTCGCCGTCTCTACGGTTCAGGGTTTAGGGCAGTTTCGGTGACACCTCTTGGGCATGCCCTGAAAGGAAATAAAGGTTTTAGGGTGTAGGGTTCAGGGTTCAGGGTTTGGGGTTCCTTCCTTTTGTTCTCCTCTTGCAGGTTAAGAGGTTATGGGTTTCATTATCCTCCAGCCCCAAGAGGGCTACGAACGGGAATCCCAGCACTCGTCGTCCTTAAACCATGTTCCAACTCTATGGGGTTCAGGGGTATACAACCCCAAAACCCTAAAAGCCTTAAACCCGCAACCCGAAAACCCTAAAACCCCAAAAACCCGCAACCCTAAAGCCCTAACCCCAAAAACCCTAAACCAGGAAGGCCCGAGGGTGTTTTACTGAGTCATAGCCACATGAGGGCAGCCAAGGGGTTTGTAAGTGGGTTCTACGTACAGTGATACTTGGGTTATAAGTACCATGAATCTCCAAGTAGGGTATGGGTTTAGGGTTTAGGGTTTAGGGTTTAGGGTTTAGGGTTTAGGGTTTAGGGTTTAGGGTTTAGGGTTTAGGGTTTAGGGTTTAGGGTTTAGGGTTTAGGATATTCTTAGAGCAGAAGCCCCGAGGATGAGCAGAACTTGACCATGAATATGCCGCCGGGCAGCTTCTGATTTTATTCTACCCTAAACCCTAAACCCTAAACCCTAAACCCTAAACCCTAAACCCTAAACCCTAAACCCTAAACCCTAAACCCTAAACCCTAAACCCTAAACCCTAAACCCTAAACCCTAAACCCTAAACCCCCAAAAAGGGAGTTTATGGGCTTTAGGGATGTTAAGGGCTGTAGGGATTTTAGGGTCTTAGGGTTTAGGGCGACTAGGACCCAGAGTATGCCCTTCTTCCCCACTTGTTTCTTTGGTGTTTAGGTTCCCTTATAAACCCCCTTCAAACCAAAAGGGATACCTTTTCTATTCCTAGGGGGGTCTAGGGTTTTTTGGGATTGTAGGGTTCAGGGTTTCGGGATTTTTGGGGTGGGGGTTTAGGGGTTTGAGTTTAGGGTTAGGCCAAAGTGTGTGGTGTTTAGGACTTACTTAGGGTTTAGGACTTAAGGCCTATAAGAACTAGCAGTTAGGGATGGCAGACGTCTTGACGTCTTGCATGTTCGCTCCGGAGTTTTCCGGAGGGCTGCTGATGGGGTTTCCGTGCTTAAAGGTTCCATGGGTGGGTAGCCGTAGGGGTCTACGTACCTCCATTAGAGTGGTTCCATGAGTGGGTAGCCGTAGGGGTCTACGTACCTCCATTAGAGTGTAGGGTGAGAATCTTCAGTGTCTTACTTTTTAGCCTCACTGCTGGCTACCACGAACCCTCCGGTAGTGGGTCTGTCGGATAGGGTCCGCCCCTACACCTTCAACTCTGCTCCCTGAGCCCGGGACTAAATCCTAAACTCCAAGTTAACTCCAAACCCTAGAACCAACACCCGAAACCCTGATCCCCAAATCCTGAAACCCTAATGCCCTAAAACCCTCGAGCCCTGAAACCCTAAATCCCTAAAGCCTGAACACCCTAAAACCCTAAAGCACTAAACCCTAAATCCCTAAAGCCTGAACACCCTAAAGCCCTCAAGCACTAAACGCTAAGGAGCCAGTGCTATCACATCGCGGAAGACTCTGTGGTGCAATCACACCAGGCGGGACGGCGTAGAACCCCACCGGAGGTCCATGATGCTTTAGGGTTTAGGGTTTAGGGTTTAGGGTTTAGGGTAACCCAAGTATAACTGCACTTATAAGCCCCTTAAGTGCCCTAGTGTGGCTATAATTTGGTTATAAGTGCCCTAAACCCTAAACCCCTGCGTCATTAAGTACCATGAACCTCCAAGTAAGCCGGGGGCTTTAGGGTTTAGGGCTTTAGGGTTGAGGGTTGAGGGTTTTGGCATTTTTTTACCCTAAACCCTAAACCCTTACCCTAAACCCTAAACCCTAAACCCTAAACCCTAAACCCTAAACCCTAAACCCTATACCCTATACCCTAAACCCTAAACCCTAAACCCTGAACCCTAAACCCTAAACCCTAAGGAATGTCGGTCCTACCTAGGTGCTCAGAGGCTGGAGCTTCCCAAAAACCCTGCAAACCCCAAGGCTGATAACCATAACAGGCCATGGGGGTTTAGGGTTTAGGGTTTAGGGTTTAGGGTTTAGGGTTTAGGGTTTAGGGTTTAGGGTAGTCTAACTCCAGACTCTCGAAGAGACGGATTGGGGGCTTAGCGGTTGAGGGTGAATAGGGTTGAGGGCTTCAAACCCTAAACCCTGGACCCTAAACCCTAAATCCTAAACCCGGTTTGAGGTTTAGGCTTCTCCTGCGGAAGGCGGTAGACATCCCGGTGAACGAGAAGGAGAACGGGAAGGACGTTGGGGTTCAGGGTGCCAGGGTGTAAGACTCCCATGCTCCCGATATTTAGGGTTTAGAGTTTGGGGTTTGGGGCTTAGGGCCCAGGACAGGCAAACCCCAAAACCCTCAGACCCTAAGCTGTAAATCCTGAACCCCTAAGCCCACCCTCATAAGGGCCAAGTACCCCAAAGTATTGGTTATGACCCTAAACCCTAAACCCTAAACCCTAAACCCTAAACCCTAAACCCTAAACCCCAAACCCTAAACCCTAAACCTCCCAGCAGGGAGGTTAAACAAGTGTGGCAACACCAGCCCTAAACCCTAAACCCGAAGCCTAAGCCCAAAGCCCAAAGCCCAAAGCCCAAAGCCCTAAGCCCAAAGCCCTAAGCCCTAAGCCCTAAGCCCTAAGCCCCAAGCCCTAAACCCTAAACCCAAACAACCCTACACCTAAGATAAACGAATAACTAAGCCCAAAGCCCCGAAAGGCAGGTCAGGGTTTAGGGTTTAGGGTTTAGGCTTCAGGGTTTAGGGCTTCTGTTTCCAGCTTTTTTCTCCTCTTTCTCAGGAGTCGGGGATGAGGATCCAGGGGCAAGTGCACCAGATGAAACGGCAAGGTGACCAGCCCACCTAAGCCTCTACAGCGGGCACACTCATCGCCTGGAGTAGTTCGGCGCTGCTGACGGTCGAAGACCCGTAAGCTCTAAGCGCGTAGGCTTTATGGCTTGAGGGCCTTTAAGGCTTTCAGGGCTTTAGGGCTCTTAGGGTGGCAGGGCTGGGATGCCCCCCCTTATACTAACAGTCCTTAAGAAGGATTATGATGGGGTGTAATCCCTATCATGGACTGTTCCTATCAGCAAAAACAACCCAAGTTTTGGGTTCTAAGATCTCGGGCTTTCGGGCTTTGGGTGCTCTAGGGCGCCCGTGTCTGGCTAGGGGTCAAGTTTAAGCTCCCTGGAGCCTAAGGGCCTTAAGGGTTTTAAGGGTTTTAAGGGCCTTAAGGATTTTAAGGGTTTTAAGGGCCTTAAGGGTTTTAAGGGTTTTAAGGGTTTTAAGGGCCTTAAGGGTTTTAAGGGTTTTGAGGGTTGAGGGGCTCAGGTTTAGGAGTGCCATGGGGTTACTACATACCAATTCGAGCCCCTCGCCCCCTTCCCCCCCCCGCCCCCAAACCCCCAAACCCCCAAACCCCTAAAGCCTTGATCATGCCCCCTTCTTTGAAAATGAATTCGGGAAGGCCCAGCTTTTAGGGTTGAGGGGCCCTAAACCCTAAACCCTAAACCCTAAACCCTAAACCCTAAACCCTAAACCCTAAACCCTAAACCCTAAACCCTAAACCCTAAACCCTAAACCCTAAACCCTAAACCCTAAACCCTAAACCCTAAACCTAACCCTAAACCCTAAACCCTAAACCCTAAACCCTAAACCCTAAACCCTAAACCCTAAACCCTAAACCCTAAACCCTAAACCCTAAACCCTAAACCCTAAACCCTAAACCCTAAACCCTAAACCCTAAACCCTAAACCCTAAAGCCTAAAGCCTAAAGCCTAAAGCCTAAAGCCTAAAGCCTAAAGCCTAAAGCCTAAAGCCTAAAGCCTAAAGCCTAAAGCCTAACCCTAAACCCTAAACCCTAAACCCTAAACCCTAAACCCTAAACCCTAAACCCTAAACCCTAAACCCTAAACCCTAAACCCTAAACCCTAAACCCTAAACCCTAACCTAAACCCTAAACCCTAAACCCTAAACCCTAAACCCTAAACCCTAAACCCTAAACCCTAAACCCTAAACCCTAAACCCCTAAGCCCAAAGCCCTAAAGCCCTAAAGCCCTAAAGCCCTAAAGCCCTAAAGCCCTAAAGCCCTAAGCCCTAAACCCTAAACCCTAAACCCTAAACCCTAAACCCTAAACCCTAAACCCTAAACCCTAAACCCTAAAACCCTAAACCCTAAAGCCCTAAGCCCTAAAGCCCTAAACCCTAAACCCGAAGCAACTCAGAGAGCCCGAGCCTTGCGCGCCGCAGGACGAGATGTTTGACAACCCTCTCATTCCGAACTGCGCCGGGCTCTCAGGAAAAGAAGGTGTTTCGATATTGGGGTTTAGGGTTTAGGGTTTAGGGTTTAGGGTTTAGGGTTTAGGGCCCCTGAACCCTAATTCCCACTCAACTCCGAAGCCTAACGGACTCAAGTTCCCCCGAGCCCTCAACCCCCAAACCCGAACTTGTCACCCTTTACCCTTTTTTGTGGTTCAAGGTTCGCTTAGAAAGATAGCCCACCCAAAAAAAAGGGTGCCCTTATTTTAATGCGGTTGCTGGGTCACCTATGCCGGAAAAAAGCCTTAGCAAACATTATGCGGCGTTGGCCATTCCGGGGGTTCCTCAGCAGCGCTACACCCCCCTCTAGGGGTTCTGGGGGTTCTAGGGGTTCTAGGGGTTCTAGGGGTTCTAGGGGTTCTAGGGGTTCTAGGGGTTCTAGGGGTTCCCCCTCTCCCAAAAATCATACAAAAGCAAAAGTTGCCGGGCTCTGGGTTTAGAAAATCAAGGCCTAGGCTTCAAGACCTCCCTGACCTAAACTAAACCCTAAACCCTTAAACCCTTAAACCCTTAAACCCTAAACCCTAAACCCTAAACCCTAAACCCTAAACCCTTAACCCTTAAACCCTAAACCCTAAACGTCCTAAAGCCGCCTTACCTGCCTTACCCTGCCTAACCCCCCTTAACGAGAGCGCGGCAGCCCTCAAACCCTAAACTCCCTAAGCCTCCCAGACTCCACCCCTCCTCCCCCCCCCTGCGCCTCAAAACCCCAAACCCGAAAGGGCTAAACCCTAAACCCCTACAACCCTACAACCCTGCGAAAAAACCTAAACCCGAAACCACTAAACCCCAAAACCCTAAACCCTAAACCCTAAAACGCTAACACCTAAAGCACTAAAGCCTAAACCCCTAGACCCCAAACCCTAAACCTTAAAGCCCCAAACCCTAAACCCTAAAGCCCTAAAGCCCTGAACCCTAAAATCCTAAACCTTAAACCCCAAACCCTAAAACCTCATTCCCCAAACCCTAAACCCTAAACCCCAAGCCCCAAACCCCAAACCCCTGTATCTTGAAATTGTTCAAAAGTCAAAAAAAACGAAACTCCTCGACACTCCGTGAAACTTTCCCCGAAACTCCTCGAAACTTCCCCGGACTGAACCCTTAACATTAGTAACCCTAAACCCTAAACCCTAAACCCTAAACCCTAAACCCTAAACCCTAAACCCTAAACCCTAAACCCCGAGCCCCACAAGCAACAATCCGTAAAGCCCTAAACCCTAAAACCCCAACCCCCTCAAATCTAAACCCAAAAATCCCAAAAACCCTAAACCCCCAAACCCTCAACCCTAAAACCCTACCCATGAGCCCCAAACCCCAAGCCCCAAACCCAGGTTAACATTCCTGGGGGATGGTCCGTTACGTTGCGCGGATTCATTGATCTTAACGCCAAAGGCCCTAACCCCAAACCCTAAACCCTAAACCCTAAACCCCTAAACCCTAAACCCTAAACCCTCAACCCAGGGGATGGCGACATCTACTCCAACCGTGACGGAAACGGACACATGACATCCCCTGCCGCACATGTGTGCGGCTACGCCAAGGGGACATCTTCACTTCGTTCACATCCCACCTTTCCGTGGCGGCATACTTTGCTGTCCACAGGAGGAAGGTTGGTGACGAATCGGCGGTGGACGTGTTCGACACGAGCTCGGCGAATATTTGGATAACACTGTTTGGCCGGCAGTTTCGCAACGATCTGTTGATCGCAGAAACGCAATACTGTGGGCCATGCTGGGGAAGATGGACTTTCGAAATTCTAGGCCCTGTACCGTAAGCCCTGAAGCCCTAACACCCCAAGCCCCAAACCCTAAACCCTAAAACAATCCCGAACCCTTAAATACCTAACCCTAAACCCCAAACCCTAAACGCCAAACCCCAAACCCTGAACCCTGAACCCTAAACCCTAAACCCCAAACCTAAACCTTCAACCCCGAACCCTAAACCCCAAACCCCCTCACCCCAAGCCCCAAACCCTAAAAAATCCCAAGCCCCAAACCCCAAACCCCAAACCCCAAACCCCAAACCCCAAACCCCAAGCCCCAAACCCCAAACCCCAAACCCCAAACCCCCCCAACCCCAAGCCCCAAGCTCCAAGCCCCACGCCCCACGCCCCATGCCCCAAGCCCCACGCCCCACGCCCCAAGCCCCAAGCCCCAAGCCCCAAGCCCCAAGCCCCAAGCCCCAAGCCCCAACAAGCCCCAAGCAGCCCCAAGCCCCAACAAGCCCCAAGCCCCAAGCCTCAAGCCCTAAACCCTAGAACCCCAAACCATTAACCCCCAAGCCCTAAACCCTAAACCCCGAACCCTTAACCCTACAACCCTTAGCAAACCCTAAACCCTAAACCCTAAACCCTAAACCCTAAACCCTAGGTCCCCTAAACCCTAAAACCCTAAACCCTAAACCCTAAACCCAAGGTCCCCTAAACCCCTAAAACCCTAAACCCTAAACCCTAAACCCCTCCAAAAGGACATCACGACCATCCCAAGAGCTTTACTTCCGGACCGACTGGGAGGTCTCAACGACCAGGCCGCCCGCCCCAAGCTTTGGGGCTTAGTGGCTTAGGGTTTAGGGTTTAGGGTTTAGGGCTAGGCTAGGGTTTAGGGTTTAGGGTTTGAGGGTTAGGGGTTTTTGAGGTAGGGCTAAGACTTTTTCCCCTTAAAGTCTCCCTTAATGTACTCGGAACATGGCCCTTAGATGACTTTAGGGATCTTTACACAGCCTAGGGGTCCAAGGCTCGACTTTGCGGTCCGGTGTAGGGTTTTGAGGTTCAGGGTTTAGGGTTTAAGGTGTAGGGTTTAGGGTGTTTGGGGTTTAGGATTTAGGGCTTGAGGTGTAGGTTTGAGGGTTTCGTTTTTTTTTTTTGTTGGTCAGGTTTAGGGTTCAGGGCTTAGGCCTCTTGGGCCTGCAGGAGGGCCGTCCTAGGACCGCCGAAGCTGCTTCGAGGTTCCTCTTTAGTCTTTTGAAAGTGTAGAATTTGGGGTTTAGGGTTTAGGGTTTGGGGTTTGGGGTTTAGGGGTTTAGGGGTTTAGGGGCTGGGGCTTGCAGCTTGGGATTTTCTGGTTTCGGACTTGTGGGTTTTGCATCTTTCATGCATTTGGGTGTTTCGAGGCTGCCGGGTTTAGGAGGGCGTAAAGCCTACTTCTGTCTTAGGGCTTCAGGATTGTGGGCTTACTGTGCAACTAGGGCCTCATGACCAATGGCAAAGGGGGAGGGGTGGCAAACTCTAAATCTCTTAACCCTTAAAGCCCAGACCCCTAAACCCTAACTCAACCCTATAACCCTAAACTTTTCGCCCCATAGTGAGTTCCAGTGCCCATGATGAAAGCGGGACCCATGATGAAAGCGGGACTTTGGAGCGTTGCAGGAATGTGCAGATGTCCTCCTGGCGCAGGCCCGGGTGTAGGGTTTTAGGGTTTAGGGTTTAGGGTTTAGGGCCCGGGTTTAATACAGGGGTCGGAATACTTACAAATGTTCTTCCCTTATGGTCCCTTTCGAATTCGACAAAAAGAACTTCCTCATTTCTCTCATTCCCTACTAAGAACCAGGGGGTTTAGGGAGTGGGAGTCGGCTCTTGCAGACTTCAGGGCTTCTGGTGCTTTGGGGTGCTTTGGGGCAGCCCAGGCGTTCCTGCCTGTATTGTTGGCTAAACCCTAAACCCTAAACCCTAAACCCTAAACCCTAAACCCTGGACCCGAAGCCCTAAACCCCAAACCCCAAACCCAGCCTCGGGGCTTCCGGATTCCCAGGGTTTAGGGTTTAGGGTTTAGGGTTTAGGGTTATTCTTCGGGCGTTTTGTGGGCTTTCGGTCTTGGATTGCGGGCCGATATTCCCCAAGCACAGCCGGCTTAGCGTTTAGGATCTAGGGACAAACTCTAAACCCTAAACCCTAAACTTCAAACCCTACAGCCTATACTCCAAACCCAAAACCCAAAACCCAAAACCCAAAACCCTAAACCCAAGCCGCAATAAGCCTTGACCAGGGGATCCAATACAGGAGCCGAAAAATTGCCAGCTATCATGTACACCATTCGGTTTCAATGGGCCCTTCACACCCTTACCCGCTAATGGCTAAACCCCAAATCCCAAACAGGCCCCGTTTAGGGTTTAGGGGTGCTTTTGTTTGGACTCGACTGTTTCAGGATAGCTGCTGCTTTCGTGGGACCGGGCCTCCATGTTTCAGTTTCAGAGTTTCGGCCCAGGCCCACTGGCCACACTCTGCGTCTGTGTGGAAACGGGCAGCCTGTGGCGTGCTAAAGCGTGAGGAGGCTGCTGCCCAGGTTGGTTTGCCGTCGGTTTAGGGTTTAGGGTTTAGGGTTTAGGGTTTAGGGTTTAGGGTTTAGGGTTTAGGGTTTAGGGTTTAGGGTTTAGGGTTTAGGGTTATGCTTCCAGGTTTGGAAGCTGAGACCATCCAGACCCATTCAGGGACCGGACCGACCTCTTGCGGGCGCCGTCTTGACCTTCCAGGCACGGTGGGAACTTTGTCCCGAGGAGCTTCCCTTCGTCACGGGCATGAGGGTTGAGGGTTTAGGGTTTAGGGTTTAGGATTGAGGGTTTAGGGTTTAGGGTTTAGGGTAAATCGCCCCAGTCGACCTGGGCAGCCCAAGATGCGTGGCTGAACATGTTCATGCTAGCAAAGCTTCAAGTCAGGTGCTACACGTGCACGTTCGACCCGGCTGAATTCAGATGAAAGCCTTAGTCACCCCTTTTAAGTCTGTCAAAGACTTCAACCTCAAACTTACTTGGCGGTTCATGGTACTTAACAACCCAATCATAGCTGTACTTGTAACCCAGACAGAACCACATTAGGGCTCTTTAAGGGGCTTATGAGTGGGGCTAAACCCTAAACCCTAAACCCCAAACCCCAAACCCCAAACCCCAAACCCCAAACCCCAAACCCCAAACCCTAAGGCGGCCATGCGCGGCGAGCTGAAGGATGTCCAGCGCGCGCTCCGCCGGGGGACCCGTCTTTAGTTCCCTTTTCTCTCAAGGGCTTCTAGGGTTGAGGAGTCTGGGTTTAGGGTTTTCGGCCTTGCTGAATATTTCCCTAAGAATCCAAGTTGTAAGTTTTGCAGGATCGGTTTTTTGATGATGATCATATGTGGGTGCCTATTTGATTTGACTAGGTTTTGCGGGGTAAATCCAGGGGTTATCAGGGGGGTGGTATTGGTACTTGCAGTCATCTTGGCTCACCCTCACTAGCCCCGATCTTCTACCTTGACGGCAGAGTCGGGGTCTCCTCCGGCTAGGGTTTAGGGTTTAGGGCAAGTTTAGGGTTTAGGGTTTAGGGTTTAGGGTGTAGGGTTTAGGGTTTAGGGTGTGTCGCTGTACGCGGACTAGGGCCATCTGGCACCCTGCGTTTTTGGTTCTCCCCAGGGCGAAATACAGGTTGAGGCGCCTCCACTTGCAGGTTCATGGGTAGGTATAAGTGGGGTTTAGGGTTTAGGGTTTAGGGTTTAGGGTTTAGGGTTTAGGGTTTAGGGCTTGGGGTCTAGGATTTAGGGCTTGGGGTTTAGGGCTACTTGGAGGGTCATGGGTAGTGACAAGTGGGGGTGATAAGTAAGATAACTTTACTTGTAACTGGTTATCACCTTTTTTAGGGTACTTATAAACCTACTTATGACTACCCATGAACCTTCAAGACGTCTACACCCTAAACCCTAAACCCTAAACCCTGGCCGCCACCCTGCCCGGGGTGCTTGCGGTTGTGTGCCGCACTGGAGCACAAGACGCGGTCCAGTCGCCCGCCCTAAGCAAACGAGGCCCTAAACGCTGAACCGGGTAGGGTTAGGGTTTAGGGTCTAGGGTCTAGGGTTTGGGGTTTAGGGTTTTGGGTGACGGGTGGCGCTCCTCTCTAATTTCAAGGGAGCAAAAAGTTAAACTTTTATTGTGGGGTCAAAATCCTATAAACGCTATAAACCCCACAAACCCCAAACCCATACCCTAAACCCTAAACCCTAAACCCGAATCCCCCAGAAGCCTCGGCACAGGTGACGGGGCGCGCGTGGACACCCGGGCCGAACTCTGCATCGCCATGGGCGCCCCCCCTGGGTTTAGGGGTGTGGGATTTGGGCTTTAGGGGTTTAGGGTTTAGGGTTTAGGGTTTAGGGTTTAGGGTTTAGGGTATAGGGTGTAGGGTTATAAGGATATCTGGGCTTTAGGGGTTCAGGGCGTTTAATTAGGGTGTTGTAGGATTGTAAGGATTTGTAGGGGTCTTAAAGGGTTTAGAGGCTTGCTTAGTATTCAGGGGTGTGTGTGTGTGTGTGTGTGTGTGTGTGTGTGTTGTTTTTTGTTTAGGGGTGTTGCGCTTAGGGTTTTGGGGGGGTCTGGGGGTTTGCGGTTTGGGGGTTTGGGTGTTTAGAAGTATGGTATGGGGCTTTAGGGGCTTGGATTTGGGGTCGCGCAGCGTGCGAGTGCTGCAGGGTTTTTGTCCGGGCTTTTGGCTCCGTCATCGCCTGCAGACGGCCTGCCTTGTTCTCTGTGTGTTGACATGGGGAGTAGTGCTCCGGGTGAGGATTGCCATCCTTCGGCTGATTACCCTGCTTAAGCCTGCTTAAGCCGAAATCCCTGACACTGTTCAAGCTCACACCCTAAACCCGAAAGCCCCCCCAAAACAGGCCCTGAGTCGCTTTTCTGATTTTGTAGTTGCAACAGACTTGGCGCCATTCTTCAACCACTTCCTGTCTTGCCAGAACCTGCTCTGCAATGGTTGGAGCGGCCCAAGTACGGGAGATGTCCGGGCACCGGCAACCCTCGCAGACCTGCCTGCCACTTCTCCGGGCCCAACCCTGGGTTTGTGCTGTTGCGATGTAGCCAAGTGGTTCCATTCGGACCTCCCTAAACTCTAAACCCTGAACCCCTAAACCCCTAAACCCCTAAACCCCTAAACCCCTAAACCCCTAAACCCCTAAACCCCTAAACCCCTAAACCCCTAAACCCCTCAATTCTCAGTTGCTGGTGTTGTGCGCGGAACACTGGCTCCTTGGATGGCTTACCGATGGGCTTTAGAGGGCACCGATGGCTTGAGGGTGTAGGGTTTATAGGGTATAGGGTTTAGGGTTGAGGGGTTTGGGCTATAGGTCAGCTGCAACCCTCAGCCCTACACGTGGGGAGTAGATTTGCAAAGCCCTCAGCCCTAGAAGGCTTAGGGTTTAGGGCATTTAGGGTTTAGGGGTTTAGGGTTTAGGGTTTAGGGTTTAGGGTTTAGGGTTTAGGGTTTAGGGTTTAGGGTTTAGGGTTTAGGGTTTAGGGTTTAGAGTTTAGGAGTTCGGGCAATCCCTGACGCGGCTTTCTTGTAAGGTGTCTGAAAGGATGACTAGCACACTTCTTAACCCTAAGCCCGAAACCCGAAACCCTAAACCCTAAACCTCAAACCCTAAACCCTAAACCCTAAACCCTAAACCCTAAACCCCAAACCCCAAACCCCAAACCCCAAACCCCAAACCCCAAACCCCAAACCCCAAACCCCAGCCACGTAGGTGACGCCAACGCCAGCATGCCGAGGAAACTGCCAGGGGCCTCGGTATCCCAGGCCCTGCGTTGAAGGGTTTGAAGGGTTGCTTATGTCGGTTTAGGGTTTAGGGGTTTAGGGGTTTAGGGGTTTAGGGGTTTAGGGGTTTAGGGGTTTAGGGGTTTAGGGGTTTAGGGGTTTAGGGGTTTAGGGGTTTAGGGGTTTAGGGTTTAGGGTTTAGGGTTGAGGGTTTAGGGTTTAGGGTTTAGCGTTTAGGTGGATGTCAAAAATGAGGGCAGCAGGCTTAGGGCTTGAAGGCTTTGTACGGAGGATTCAGGCTTTAGCCAGCTCATGTCGCCTGGTTGTACGGGTACTACACATGCCTGAGTAACCCTAAACCCTAAACCCTTAACCCTAAACCCTAAACCCTAAATTTTAAACCCTAAACCCTAAACCCTAAACCCTGATGTACGGGTACTACAGATGCCTTAACAATCAACCCTCTGATTACACAATCCCTTGAGAACTACATTATAAACTATTGCGCAACAGATTTCGGTCCGCTTTACCCGAAGTGCCTATTCTAGATAAGGAGGAGTTAGGTTTATCTAGTGCTGAAGGGTAGGGTTTAGGCTTTGTCTAGGCCTTCATGCTTCGGGGTTTGCGCGCTGCAGGCTTTGGAGGTTGAGAGGTTCAGGGTTTAGGCCTTACTGCCTGCCAGCATGAAGCAGAACAGAGGCAACCATGAAGGCAGTTGCGGAACGGAAGCTCAGACCGTGCAGCTGAAAATAGGGTTGTGGGAGTGGGTTAAGGGCTTCAAAGTTTCAAGGACGCCCCTGATGCGCGCCTGCGCTTGTGGACACGCGGAGGTGGGTTTCGGGGTAGACATAAGAAGTGTGGGGTTGTAAGCACCCCCCCCCGAATGAGGTTAATAGCAAGTACTTATAACCTGGAACTACCCGCCTGATAGTCCCAGTTCTAGACTGATCTCACCCAGCTAGTGAAACCTCAAGGCGAGCTTAAGGACTTTACGATTTAGGGTTTAGGGTTTAGGGTTCCTAACCGGCTTATGGTTCTTAACCCCGAAACCGCTTGTAGGGCATCGGGCTCAGCTTTACTTTGCAGCGGCCATTGCCCCCCTCGAACTCGCAAAAAATGACTAAACACCCCTGCACCCTACTGCAAACCCTAAACCCTAAACCCTACACCCCAAACCCTAAACCCTAAACCCTACAAGCTTACCAGGGACTTTGGACGTTCTTGGAGAATCCAGCCGGACATCCCAGTAGAGTCTAGGGTCTAGGTTTAGGGTTTAGGGTTTAGGGTTCAGGGTTTAGGGTTTAGGGTTTAGGGATGTTTAGGGTTTAGGGTCTAGGCTGCCTAGGGGAGCCAAAAGCCGCATGCCCCCCTTCACCCCTGAAGCCTAAACTCTCGCCGTTCAGGGTTTAGTGTTTGGGGTTTGGGGTTTGGGGTTTAGGGTTTGGGGTTCAGGGTTTGGGGTTTGGGGTTTGGGGTTTAGGCTAGGCCACAAGAGGAATAGACGAGACATCAACAACTGCCAATGGCGCAATTGGGGTCTAAAAGGCTTCTTGGTTTAGGTTAGCCCTCTTATCTGAAACTCCGAGCCCGAAACACCAAAACCCTGAACACTCAACCCTAAACCCTAAACCCTAAACCCTAAACCCTAAACCCTAAACCCTAAACCCTAAACCCTAAACCCTAAACCCCTAGTGATCTGCACCGAACCCAAAACGCGCCCCCGAAGCCCTCCAACCCCCCACAGTGAGGCCAGCCGCTTGCCCCATTTTTATGTCCCAATCTTAGCCATCATCCCTAATGTCAAAACCCCAAGCCCTAAACCCCAAAATCCTAAGCCCTAACCTGAGACCCTACACCCTAAACCCGAAACCCTAAACTCCCAAGCCCTGAACCCGAAACGCCTGAAGCCCCCTAAGCCCATGCTTGGAGCTTCATGGTACTGACTAACCAATTATAACTGTACTTATAAGCCACTGATAAGCCCCCCTTACGTGCCCTAATATGGTTGTAAGTACCCTTGCAAGTACAGTTTTAATTGGTTACCCTAAACCCTAAACCCTAAACCCTAAACCCTAAACCCTAAACCCTAAACCCCAAACCCCTTCAACGCCTTCAACCCGAAGCCCATGTGCAGGTCGTCATTTGCCTGCTCGAAGCCAAGGCTCTGCGGCTAAGGGTTTAGGGTTTAGGGTTTAGGGTTTAGGGTTTAGGGTTTAGGGTTTAGGGTTTAGGGTTTAGGGTTTAGGGTTTAGGGTTTAGGGTTTAGGGTTTAGGGTTTAGGGTTTAGGGTTTAGGGTAGGGACTGTTAGTCTCAGGGTAGTTATATGAGCCTTTATTATGGTCCCTTCTCTCCGGCCCTTGGGTTGTATAGGGTTTTTAAGGGGTATTTCAGGGGTCCCCTTTTTAAGGGCCCGCACTAAGGGACCCTGTAACTATGCTAAGAGTTGGGGTTTTCAGCGCTTTTCAGGCTCCTAGTTCTCTAGGGCTTTAGGGTTGTTCAGGGCTTTTAAGATTCAAACCCTGAACCCTAAACCCTGAACCCCAAACTCTAAACCCTAAACTTAGGTGACAGCTCGCGTTCCGCGGGCGGCCTCCTTTGCCCGGAAAAGACGGGGCGATGGAGCCGAAGCTTTCGATCCAGCTCGGAGAGCTCACCACCAACGAAAGGGCCTGCCTCCTGCTCAAAGCGGAGCGTTGCAGGTGCAGTGGCCTGGACTAAGGCTTTCACATGGCGCAAAACTGCAGAGGTGGAGAACCAGGCTGCGGCTGAAAAGGTCCCAATGCCTGACATCCTTGTGCTGGTCCACCAGCCAGGCGAGCTGCGCGCTTATGATTTGCCGCTGTTTAATTTTGCAGGCGCTGCGCTGCTGTCGGCTGAATCGCAAACAAGCGTCGTGAACGCTAGAGCCAAAGCACGTATTGACGGAGGTTGGGGCATTTCGAGCAAAATAATGTCGAAGATTATGGCCGCTGACATGGCGAATCTCGAAGACTACTATCTCACCTCCCTCCACACCGCGCAGGCCTGCCGGAAACGTGTTTTATCACGTTCCCTCTGCAACTGGTCGGGCGCCATACGCAGTGCCAACGACATTGGAGCCGGGTGCAGGTGGGAAGTATGTCGCCTCCATACAAATCGGTGGAGTAACGTTCGCATAGGGTTTAGGGTTTAGGGTTTAGGGTTTAGGGTTAAGGGTTTAGGGTTTAGGGTTTAGGGTTTAGGGTTTAGGGTTTAGGGTTTAGGGTTTAGGGAGCCCGGCACCGCCCCCGCCCCTGCCTGAAAAAGCCAGGACCTAGCGCCAACCCATAGCCTTAAACCTTACACGCTAACCCCTAAACCCCTTAAGCCCTAAAACCCAAACCCCAAACACTAAACCCTTAACCCTAAACCCTAAACCCTAAACCCCTTCATGAATAAACCAACAATACCTCAGAGCCAGGCCAGCCTCTGGCGCGTGGACAGCCATGGGTGGACGCTGGGAGCTCGTCCACCTCTGCGGGCCTTCGGAGCTTGTATAGTTTACTGTAGGGCTTAGGGTTTAGGGTTTGGGGTTTAGGGTTTAGGGTTTAGGGGTTTAGGTAGCTGTACTTGAAACCCGCCTATAACCACATTAGGGCACGTAAGGGGCTTGTACGTGTTACAAGTACAGCTATGATTGGGTGATAAGTACAATGGACCTCCACGTAGGATGTTTGGGTGTTTGGGTCTTTTAGGGGTTTAGGGCGTTTTTTCCTTTGATCTGTTGTTCGGGTTTTAGGTTTTAGGTTCTGGGTTTTCTGGGGTTTGAGGGTTTTCGGGTTTAGCTTTTTTTGTTTTTTCCAGGTTGCAGGGTTTCATGGTTTTAGGGCTTTCGAATTTGGGTTATGCTCAGGGTTTTAGGGTTTTAGGTTTGGGAAAATTAATTGGGGTACGCCCAGGATTTTCGGGCCTAGGGTTTTGGGGTTTCAGGGTTTACGGGCTTTAGGGTTTCTGGGGTTAGGGGTTTTAGGGTTTCAGAATTTTAGGTATCGGCATGAGAGGTTAGAGTCTAGGGCTTGGGTTTATGCTTACAGGGTCTTTGGCGTGGGGTTTCAGGCTTTCAGGCTTTTATGCTTTGAGGGTTTTCTGGCTTTGGAATCTATAGGGTTTAGGGCTGAGGCTTCCTCAGTTGATTCAAAGGTTTTCTGCGAATCCGAACCCTCAAACCTAACCCCCAACCCCCCAAACCCTAAACCCTAAACCCGAAACCCTAAACCCTAAACCCTAAAGCCTTTCGGGGTTTGGGGGATCCAGGGTCTTTGCAGTTTTCTTGTTAGGGAACCCTGAGCCCTGAACCCCAACCCTGGGCCCTAAACCCTGAAGCCTAAACCCAAACCCTACACCCTAAACGCTAGGCCCTAGACCTAAACCCCCCAAAAAGGCTTGTAGTCGAGCCTTTGACATATACGACCATCAATTGGGGTTGAAGGGGTTTTTGGGTTTTAAGGTTTGAGGGTTTGAGGGCTTTAGGCTTTCAGGGTTTTAGGATGTTTAGGGTTTGAGTGAACCCTAAACCCTAAACCCCAGACCCCATTCGGTGCTCAAAAGCCCCTCCCCCCCCCCTTCATCGGCCTGGGGTTTAGGGTTTAGGGTTTAGGGTTTAGGGTTTAGGGTTGAGGGCTTGATGATTTTAGGCTATTCTCCCGGTTGCTTGGATGCTCAGGGCACTTCGTAGGTCATTAGACTGCATTAGGGTACCTACTTCCTACGAACCAGCAAGTTCAGCTTGAATCTACCCTAAACCCTAAACCCTAAACCCTAAACCCTAAACCCTAAAGCCTAAACCCTAAACCCTAAACCCTAAACCCTAAACCCTCCGGGCCTCCTTCCTCCGCCGGGCGGCAATCGCCATCATGGCCGTGATCCTGGTTCAGTCGGCTCCCTGCCGGCATCATCGAGATTCTAGGAGGCCACTAATGTTAGGGTTTAGGGTTTAGGGTTTAGGGTTTGGGGTTTGGGGTTTGGGGTTTAGGGTTTAGGGTTTGGGGTTTGGGGTTTAGGGTTTGGGGTTCAGGGCTTCGGGTTTAGGCCCCTGTAGTCCCTAACATCCACTAAGCCCCAAGCCCCAATCTGCCGAGCTTGGGGTTCGCCCGTCTTGCGCGCGTGGCAGCCCTTAAAGTCAGGGTTTCAGGCTTTAGGGTTTAGGGTTTAGGGTTTAGGGTTTAGGGTTTAGGTAGGGTGTTTAGGGTGTTTAGGGCTTTAGGGTTTAGGGCTTAGGGTTTGGGGTTTAGCGTGCGGGGGTATCAGGGTTTTGGGGTTCTTAGGTTTTAGGGTTTCGGGCTTTTACGGTTTTCAAGAATGTTGAAATTTAAAGTTTTAAGGGTTCCAGGTCAGGTTTTGAGGTTTTAGGATTTTGGGATTTGCAGCTTTCAGATTTTTTGTTTCAAGGCTCTAGGGTTTCAGGGTTTTAAGGGTTTTTACAGGATTTAGGGTTTTGGGCTTTAAGGGCTTTAAGGGCTTTCAGGGTTTTAGGGTCTAGGGGTGAGGGGAGAAGAACGGAGAAGGCGGTGCACGACGAAGCCGCTTGAACGCTGAACCCGGAACGCCTGAACCTCAGCCCTAAACCCAAGCCATATAGGGTTTAGGGTGTAGCGGGTTTAGGGTTTATAGGGTTTAGGTCTCCCAACGAAACGAAGCGATGGGTGGGACTTGGGTTGCGGATGTTTCGGGACTAGGTTTTTGTGGAGTAACCTGAAAGCATCCTTTGAATCGCATAGACAAGCCCCCGCAATGCTAGGCCCCCTAAACCCTAAACCCAAAAAACACCGAGAAACCCTAGAAGCCCTAGAAACCCTAGAACCCTAAACCCCTACATGCCCCAAACCTTCAACAGACTCCTAGCACCCAAAACCCTAAACTCTAAGCCCTCAACCCTAAACCCTAAACCCTAAACCCTAAACCCTAAACCCTAACTCCTAGGTTGGTTCCCAGCACAAGAGCGCGCTGCCGATGCCGCGGCCTTGGACGGCTTTCGGGGTGCAATTGGGCTCAGGGTTTAGGCCGAGTTTAGGGTTTAGGGTTTAGGGTTTAGGGCTTAGGGCTTAGGGCTTAGGGCTAGGGTTTAGGGTTTAGGGCTTATTCGAGGGTTTCTAGTTAGCGTGGAAGAAAGAAGGCGAGTCTCGGATCCCCGCGGCACGTCCAGTTTTGGGTTTGGGGTTTTAGGGTCAGGGTTTATGGACGCGCGATTTTCACAAATGGGTCGAGCGATGGACACACTGTTGACACAGTGTCCTATGCTCTGTCCTATGCTCGTGAACTATGCACCTATCATGGACGACATCAGGAATATAGGTGAGACTTAGGGTTAGGGTTTTAGGGTTAAGGACTTAATTAGGGTTGAGGGTTTTAGGGTTTTAGGGACTTAGGGTTTAGGGACTCGGGGTTGAGGGTATTAGGGTTTTAGCGTTGGGGTTTGGGGTTTAGGGTGCAGGGATTTGGGACTCAGGGTTTAGGGCTTCAGGGTTTTAGGGCGTTAGGGATTAGGGCTTTAGGATTTTTAGCCTGGTGTTGAGGGGTTTAAAGGCATTTGCGGTCTTATGCTTGGTTCACGTTGGGGCGTTTACGGCAATTTGCGCGTGCTTCAGGACTGGTATTCGACCCTCAACCCTAAGTCCCTAGAACCCTAAAACCCTCAAACCTTGGCCCCTGAAACTCTACACCCTAAACTTTAAACCCAAAATCACGAAACCCTGAACCCTAGCCCTAAACCCTAAACCCTAAACCCTAAACCCCAAACCCCAAACCCCAAACCCCAAACCCCAAACCCCAAACCCTAAACCCTAAACCCTAAACCCTAAACCCTAAACCCTAAACCCTAAACCCTAAACCCTAAACCCTAAACCCTAAACCCTAAACCCTAAACCCTAAACCCCTAAACCTAAACCTAAACCCTAAACCCTAAAACCCTAAAACCTAACCTAAACCAAAACTAAACCTAAAACCCTAAACCTAAACCCCTAAACCCTAAACCCTAAACCCTAAACCCTAAACCCTAAAAACCTAAACCCTAAACCCTAAACCTAAACCCCCTAAACCCTAAACCCTGGCCCTAAACCCTAAACCCTAAACCCTAAACCCTAAACCCTAAACCCTAAACCCTAAACCCTAAACCCTAAACCCTAAACCCTAAACCTTAAACCCTAAACCCTAAACCCTAAACCCCAAAAAATCCTAGGATGCCCCGCAACTGCTCCCCGAGGCGCCTGGAGGAGTTGGGCCTTGAGCCCTCCGAGACCAAGGTGAAGACTCTGAAGGAGACGGTTTGGGGGCTCTGTTTAGGGTTTAGGGTTTAGGGTTTAGGGTTTTCGGTTTTCGGTTTAGGGATCTAGGGTTTAGGGTCCCCTTAGAAGGTAACCAACCTCCAAAAAGGGTGCCCTCCTATAATATGGTTACTGGGTTTCCAAGATACCCCACATCCTCAACCTCGTGCCCCAAGCTTTAAATCTTTAAAGGGTTGAGGGTTTTGGACCCTGGACCCTGAAACTCGAGAAGCCCCTGAAGCCCCATAAAGCTCGCCCCCCCCGCCCCAAAGCCAAAAGCAAAAAACCCTAAACCGTAAACCCTAAACCCTAAGAGCCCCCCTAAGGCCACCCGGTTCCCCTCCACAGGAGTTCGTCTGTCAGCACACGCGCATCGCGCCCGTCAAGCAGCGGATGGAGTTCCGGGGCCGCGTCCTCAAGGAGCTTGGGGGGGGGGGGGGGGACCCTAAACCCTAAACCCTAAATTGCTAATTCTTAGACCCCAGACCCCGAAACCCAGGACTTCAGGGGATGAAGTAATTAGGGTTTTTGCACACGGGTCGTGGGGTAGGTACCTAGGCTTTGCCGAGGGAACTGCAGGGAAGCTTGGGGAGCCGGGGAGCCTTCGGGAGCAGTAGTGAGTGTGGCACCTTGGGTTGCATACCCCCCTTGAATCCCCTCCCTTAAGAACCCTATCATAAACCCTAGCCCTAAACCCTAAACCCCTTGGGCAGGATGACATGACTTTGGAGCAGTGCGGCCTCGCGCAAGGAGGCCACCAGACCGGGCTGAAAGGGTTTGGGGTTTAGGGTTTAGGGTTTAGGGTTTAGGGTTCCCGTCCCTCCCTTTCTGCGGATGGTGGGTTTTGGGGGCTTTCCCCCTAGGGTTCATGGGATTCAGGGTTGAGGGTTTAGGGTTTAGGGTTTAGGGTTAGTGTGTAGGTTTAGGGCTTCCCCTCTGCCCCCTGTGGTTCGTGGTGGGTTTTTACGCTTCAGGGATAGGGGTCAGGGTTACGGGTTTAGGTTTTATACTTCAAGAACCCACAACCTACTTCTTTGCAGGTTCCCTTAAGAATCCTATAGCGGGTGTTTATAAAAAGAGCCTATAAAAAAGTAGGTTATGGGTTTTAGGTTTTTGGGCCCAGGGTGCCAGACCTTGCAGCTGTTGCTAAACTCTAAACCCGAAACCCTAAACCCTAAATCCTAAACCCTAAACCCTATACCCTAAACCCTAAACCATACATGTTGGAAATCTCGGACCCTCAGCCCTACCTCCTCAACCACCCGCTCCCCTTCTGCCCCCAACAAGCGCAGGCCAGATCTTCATGGAGGCCCAATGCGCTGGAGGGCCGGGGTGGTGACTTTGCCACAAGGGCTGGGGTTTAGGGTTTAGGGTTTAGGGTTTAGGGTTTAGGGTTTAGGGTTTAGGGTTTAGGGTTTAGGGTTTAGGGTTTAGGGTTTAGGGTTTTGGGTTTGGGGCTTCTGGGTTTAGGGTTTTGGGGCCCCCAAACGTAAACTTCTTAAAGCCCTACAGCCGAAGCTCTCAACGATCAACGCCTGAATCCCAAAATCCTTCACCCAAGAACTGAGGTTTAGGGTTTAGGGTTTAGGGTTTAGGGTTTAGGGTTTAGGGTTTAGGGTTTAGGGTTCAGGGTTCAGGGTTCAGGGTTCAGGGTTCAGGGTCCTCTTTTTTTACACTTAAACAAACCGGGAGCTTCCGTCGGATGCAGAAGCCTTATAAACCTTGGTAGCCCAGTGGTACTAAACCCTAAACCCTAAACCCTAAACCCTAAACCCTAAACCCTAAACCCTAAACCCTAAACCCTAAACCCTCTTTTTGGATCTGGGTGCCCTTATGACTTACTTCTCCCACAGCTGAACTTTAAACTTTTTGGGAACCTTTTTGGGTTTCCTGATTTAGTAGGAATAAAAAAGTTTAACGCTTTGTCCCTTGGTTATTGGAGAAGTGAGATAAAGCAACCAGCCCACATCAGGGTGCCCTTATGTTAATGTGGTTACTCTTTGTCATAGTTGGGTAGCATTTTACATTTTTAAGGGTACTTGAACCCAATAAGGAATAACATTAGATTTTTAATATTATCCCCACCAACAACTAGGACTGGGCTAGGTGTTGGGTGCAGGGGGGGGGGGCGGAGGCTCCTTCGACTGAAACGCATTTACGGTTCAGAGTTTTGGGGTTTTAGGGTTTTAAGTTTTTTTACTTTTTAGGTTTTTGGGGTTTTAGGGTTTTAGGGTTTTAGGATCTTCGGGTGTTAGGTTTTAAGGTTTTAGGGGGTTTTAGGATTTCGGGGTTTCAGGGTTTAGGGTTTAGGGCTTACGCGCTTCGGGGCTTAGTGGCTTATGGGCTTAGCTGGGGCTTATTTGGAGTATAAGTTTCAAGTTCTAGGGACCCTAATTCTTCAATAGTCGAATTGGCCCTATTTTCAAAGCCACCCCAAGCTCACCCACGTTTGGGTTCAGGGCAGGTGGGGATGATCGCTAAGTTCTCGCTTTGCAGGGTTCTCGGCTTTGTTCTTACAGGGTGTGGGGTCAAAAGGGATAGGGCTTGAGGCAGTGTCCCTAAACCCTAAACCCGAAATCCTAAACCCTAAACGACCCTAAACCCCAAGTCCCAACGAAAAGCCGAGGTTTTGGCACTGAGCCGCTTGAGAAGGGCCTCCGGGGCACGCGACAAGGGGTTTGGGGTTGAGACGTGAAATCCCTAAAGCCCAAACCCCAAACCCTAAACCCGGGTTTAGGGTTTAGGGTTTAGGGTTTAGGGTTTAGGGTTTAGGGTTTAACCCCAAACCCTAAACTCTAAACCCCGAAGCCTTAAACCGTAAACCCCAAACACTATTGGTCGACGGTGCATCTTCAGGCCGAAGGCCAAACCATGCAACCGACCAAGAGCGACTCAGGGGAATCCCCCTCCGATCTTTTGTGGCGGTTCAGGTTTTAACCCTAAACTCTAAACCCAAAACACCCTAAAACCCTCAACCCTAGACACCAAGCCCTAAACCCCGAACCCCAATCAACATGACGCTGCCCTGGATTTCCGCGGTTTGCTGCGGATCCCCTCCTGAACCGCTCCAGAAGCAATGCGTCGACCTCCCGCGTGCTCAAAGGCGATTGTAGGGCTGAGAGTCAGTGGCTGCTGTGCTTTTTGCTGGCGGTAGGGTGTATATAGGGTTTCGGGCTCAGGGTTTAGGGTTTAGGGTTTCGGGTTTAGGGTTTAGGGTTTCGGGTTTAGGGTTTAGGGTTTCGGGTTTCGGGTTTCGGGTTTAGGGTTTCGGGTTTAGGGTTCAGGGTTTAGGGCTTCGGGGATTTGGAGTGCAGGGTCCCAGAAGGTTTGGGTTCGAGGTGCAGGGAGCATAAAGCTTTGGGCTTCAGGGTTCGAGCTCAGGGTTTAGGGTTTAGGGTTTAGGGTTTAGGGTTTAGGGCTTAGGGCCTAGGGCTTAGGGCTTAGGGTTAGGGCTTTAGAGCTCGGGGCTTGACATCTCCGCGCCCATAAGACCTCAAGGCCCTGCAAGCTCCCCGCGTTTAGGGTTTAAGGTTCAGGGTTCAGGGTTTAGGGTTTAGGGTTTAGGGTTTAGAAACCCTACACCCTAAACCCGAAGCCCTGAGAGCCTGAGACCCTGAAGCCCGAACGCTAAGGCCCAAACCCTATTTCTAGACCCTGAGCCCTAAACCCTGAAACCCTGAACCCCTAAACCCTACCCGACACTGAAACCCTATCCTGAAACCCTAAACCCTGAACCCCGAAACCCTGAAACCCTACATCCCTAAACCCTAAACCCTAGACCCTACAGCCTACACCCTACAGCCTACACCCTAGCCCAAAACCCTAAACCCCTGAACCCCGCAACCCTAAACCCTAAACCCTAGCCCTAAACCCCAAACCCCTAAACCCTGTCAATCCCTAAGGCCCCTCTGCCACGCACTGGCGAATTGCGAGCCCGAACCCCAGCGCTGGGGATTTCTTTGGGTTGAGGGTTTAGGGTTTATGGGTATAGGATTTAGGGTCTAGGGTTTAGGGTTGGGTTTAAGGGTTTAGGGTCTTCAAGTTTAGGGCTTGGGGTTCAGGGTTCAGGATTTCAGGGCTTCAAGGGCGTCGGCGTCTGGGAGTGTGGGGGGTGGGGGTGGTACAATGTACCTTGAAATTCAGCAGGCTATGACTGTGCATATCGGTTCCTTGGATTTCTAGGACATGATCAAAACAGTCCTTGGTAGTATGGGTGTTTGCAGTGTCGCAGTCTTGCTGACCATAGCCAGGGTTCAAGGCGCAGGTTGTTTTGTTTGATATCCCGAGGGCAGTGTTTGTTCAGGCTGGGGCGTTCGTAGTACTGCGTAGGGACGTGTTCCTAAAGTCTCAACCCTGAGCCCTAAATCTCCTGAACCTTATGCCCTGAACCCCAGACCCTAGTCCCGGAAATCCGAAGCCCTGAGCCCCAAAGCCTAAACCCCTGAACCCGGAACCCTAAGCCCTAAACCCTGAACCCTAAACACTAAACCCTAAACCCTTTTGGGATTTAGGGTTGAGGGTGGATGTAGGGCTCAAGATGTAGGGTTGCCCTGATCTGCCACGCACCTCTGCTTTTGAGGGGCCCCAACCCCCTGACATGGCAAAACACCCAATAGGCTGCCGTAAACACGCCTTTAGTCACCTTCTGTGCCCGGAGAAGTGCACCCGAAACCCTAAACCCTAAACCCTAAACCCTAAACCCGAAACCCTAAACCCTAAACCCTAAACCCTAAACCCTAAACCCTAAACCCTAAACCCTAAACCCTAAGCCCTAAACCCTAAACCCTAAGCCCTAAGCCCTAAGCCCTAAGCCCTAAGCCCTAAGCCCTAAACCCTAAACCCTAACCACCTGTTTGGGAGTGCAGGGACTCGTGGCTTCGGGGTTGACTGTGGGCGTTGATAGGGTTTTCCGGGTCCAAACCCTGAACCCTAAACCCTTGTAAACTCACCAAATCTCCACTCCCACAGCTGTTTTTTTTTTTTTTTTTTTTTTTTTCGTTTGCTTCCGCGCAAACTTAATTGCAGGGGCCTGAGTACTTAGAATATGGTTTTGGCGCTGATCGCAGTATAACTCTAGAAGGGACAACGAGGGAAGCCAGCTACACCGATTGTCCTTGAAGAAGCGCCCTGGGCGTTGTCTTTTGAAAATTCTGGAGTTCATGACAAACATCTCTCCCACACTCCAGGAGACTTGCCGTCCTTCGCTCAGGGTTTGAACCAGCAGCTGGGTCGCGTGTACCAGGTGCAGCCGGAAGATACAGACGTCCTGGTGTGACACGCGTTTGGGCGTAAGTCCATCCACCTTCGCACCATTCTCTCGCGGCAGGCGACCGCGTGCATTGTGGAGAGCAATCATTCTGAGCACCGGGCGGTGTTGCACGTTCTGGACCGGCCTTTTCGGCAGTACTATCAGTAATTATTCCGACCCTTATATTGCCCTAGTAGCTCTAAACCCTCAACCCCCTAAACCCCCCTAACCCCTAACCCCTAACCCCTAACCCCTAACCCCTAACCCCGAACCCCTAACCCCTAACCCCTAACCCCTAACCCCTAACCCCTAACCCCTAACCCCTAACCCCTAAACCCTAAACCCTAAACCCTAAACCCTAAACCCTAAACCCTAAACCCCCTAAACCCTAAACCCTAAACCCTAAACCCTAAACCCTAAACCCTAAACCCTAAACCCTAAACCCTAAACCCTAAACCCTAAACCCTAAACCCTAAACCCTAGCCCTAAACCCCAAACCCTTCAACCCTCCACAGGCTGTCCCTTGCCCGCCACCTCCTTGCCGAAGCGGGGCCTCATCGCGACAGGCGGGAGTGAGCTTTATGCTTTAGGGTTTAGGGTTTACGGTTTTGGGGTTTTAGGGTTTTAGGGTTTTAGGGTTTTAGGGTTTTAGGGTTTTAGGGTTTTAGGGTTTTAGGGTTTTAGGGTTTTAGGGTTTTAGGGTTTTAGGGTTTTAGGGTTTTAGGGTTTAGGGTTTTGGGTTTAGGGTTTGTCCCTTAGCTTGGCCTCATCGCGACAGGCGGGATTGAGCTTTGTGGGGGCTCTTGGAGGGCTCTTGGGAGGTTTGAAGGTTAGCAAGGCTTGGGGTTTAGGGTTTAGGGTTGAGGGTATATGGTTTAGGGTTTAGGGTTTAGGGTTTAATTAGGGGTTTGGGGCTTAGAGTAGTAGTTGGAGGTTCACGGTACTTAATACCCCCATGATAACTGTATCAGGGTTGAGGGTCTAGGGTTTAGGATTAGCTGTACTTATATCCCAATTATAACCACATAGTTTCCCACAATACAATACAGTCTTATACATTTTCATACAATACAAAGAATTACATTTCATTTAAGAACATTATATTTACATATATATATATACAGTGATTGTGTACTCCTCTTTCAAGGGGTGTTAAAGCACAGTTGTCCGTGGCCATTTCGTTACATCATCCCTCCCGGCGCCACAAAAAAGCCCTGAACCGTTATCGTTTCGCACAACCCCAAACCCCAAACTCTAAACCTTTGCGAGGCAGCTCAAGATGATGACGGCGAAGCGCGACGAGGTGCCGCCACAATGCCAAAGTTGAAAGTTTCAGGGTGTAAGGTTGCTGTACAGGATTTCAGAACCCTAAGCTTTAAACCCTAAACCCTAAACCCGAAGCCCTCAACCCTAAACCCTAAACCCCCTGAACCCCTAAAAAACCCCAAATCCTAAGCCCTGCACGAAAGAGTCGCCCCGCAGCTTCTCACCCTTGGACCCCCTCAAGCACGTTTCGGGGTGCAGGCTTGAGGGTGCAGGGTGCAGGGTTTAGGGTTGGAGGGACAAAGACCCTCAGCAATCTGGCTCTGAGAAGCGGAGTGGGTCTTTGGGGGCACCAGGGAGTTCGCGAATAGGGGGTGGTTTAGGGTTTAGGGTTGAGGGTTCAGGGCTCGGATCATGAGCTGGACCAGAAGTTCCAGCAGGCGCATGATTGCTACCTGCGCATGGACCTCTGCCTGGCAGACGTCATGGAGGCCTTCAGGTCCGCCTTCTTCTCGAAGCTCCGCGTCGACCCGCTGCAGTACGTTACCCTGCCAAGCGCCACTTACGACGCGATGCTCAAGTTTTGCCTGAGCCATAGGCCCGCGCACCTCATCTCGGACCACGACATTTACAATGCGGTGCGAAGGTCCAGACCTACACGAGGGCCAACTCGCCCGAGCTGGGGGCCTCTCCCCTGTCATTCCCCTGTAATGGTGTTTTGAGCACTTGTTTCCCTAATTCCAGATGAAGAGCCAGCAAGCAGCAAGTAAGCTCTTTCCCCCCCCCCCCCCCCCCCCCCCCCCCCCCCCCCCCCCCCCCCCCCCCCCCCCTCCTCCCTCATCCCCTCCCCCGCCTCTGTTCCAGCGCGCCTGGACCGCAGATGCTGAGCATCACAATAATCCTAAACCCTAAACCCAAAAACTTCACACCCTCCTGCTGCCCAGGCCGCATGGGTGGCCATTAACCGAAAGTAAAAAACAAAAACCCTACGCACGCTAACCCATGAAATGCTAAGATAACACCTCCTTTCCACCTCAAATACAAGACCTTTAAGGGCGGAGTTCCAGGACTAAACGACGTCCTTGGGGATTTCAGGAGCCCCTCCTAAACCCGAAGCCCTGAACCCTGTATGTAAACCCAAAGCTCGAAACTCTAAGGGCCCTTGAAACCCCGCCCTAAGCCCTGAAAGCCCTAAGCCCCGAACCCGAATCCCAAAACCTTAGCCTAAACCCTAAACCCTAAGCCAAACCCTAAACCCTAAACCCTAACCCTAAAACCCAAACCCCAAACCCTCAACCCTAAACCCTAAACCCTAACCCTAAACCCCAAACCCTAAACCCTAAAACCCAAACCCAAACCCAACCCTAAACCCAAACCCTAAACCCCAAACCCTAAACCCTAACCCTAAACCCCAAAGTCGCAGATCGTGGAACACTGCGAAGAGTGGGTGGGCGGCGACGCCGCGAACCAGCTGCACAACGAGTTTGAGCGCTGGGCTCAGAAAGGGTTTAGGGTTTGAGGGTTTAGGGTTTAGGGTTTAGGGTACAATGAGTTTGAGCTCCGGGCTCAGAGCGTCGTTTTCAGCTCAGGGCTTGGGGGCTTTGGGGGTTTAGGTTTTTTTGGGGTGCGCGGGGGTTCATTTTTTGGGTGGTTTTGCAAGGGCCTTTGGCGTTGTAGGGCGCCAGGCTCGGGGAGTTCAAGTTTTGGGTTGTTAGTTGTTTTCGTTTTCGGGTTTAGCGTTTTCAGGCTCTAGGGGCGTTAGGTTTTTTAAGGGTTTGGGTTTAGGGTTTGCTTGCTTCGCTTAGGGTTTTAAGGGTGTGGTGTTTTCATGGCTTTAGGGTTCTCAGGGTTCGGGCGGGCGGGGGGGGGGGGGACCAAAAACCATAAACCTCAAAACCCTAGACCCCCAAAACCCTAAACCCCAAAAACCCTAGCCCTAAACCCCCAAAAACCCTAAGCTCCTAAGCACTAAACCCCGAAGACCCAGTAACCCAAAATCCCTAGACCCCAAAGCCCCTAAACGTCCAAAACCCGAAGCCCCAAACAAAGCCCTAAACTTGGGATGTTACCCCTTATACCAACAGTCGGTTTAGGGTTTAGGGTTTAGGGTTTGGGGTTTGGGGTTTAGGGTTCAGCGTTCAGGGTTTAGGGTTTAGGGTTTAGGGTATTTTAACAGGGGGTACTTATAATCCCGAGAAAGACTGTAAGTATAAGGGGGAGCATCTCAACCGTAAACCCCCAAAACACCCCAAAGCCCGAAAGTGTTAACTCCTAAACCCTTAAACCCCAAACCCCAAACCCTAAACCCTAAACCCTAAACCCCCGAAGGCCCAAAGCCCTAACCCCTCCTAAGCCCCAGGCTCGGCTTCTTGGAAGGCGAGGCGACCCATTTGGATCTTGTGAAGCAGACCAAGGCCCGGATTTAGTTTAGGGTTTATGGTTTAGGGTTCGGGGTTTAGGGTTGAGGGTTTAGGGTTTAGGGTTTAGGATTTGGGGCTTTAGGCTTTAGGGTTTTGGGTTTAGGGTTTGGGGCTTGCGGGTGAGGGTTTAGTTGTTGTTTCTGTCTTTGGGGGTGGGTGGGTGGGTGGGTTGTTGCTTTTAATGGGTTTGGCTTTCTTTGGTGTTTAGGTTTGGGGTTTAGAGTTTAGGGGTATTTGAGGGGTTTAGGGTTTTCGGTGTTTGGGTTCAGGGTTTGGCGTCTTGGTGGCGTTTCGGGCTTGGGGTTTTGGTGTTTGGGGGTTGCTGTTAGTTTTGGCATTTGGGGTTTATGGATTTTGTTGCTTAGGTTTTTGGGGGGTTTGGTTTGGCGTTAAGGGGGTTTAGGGTTTGGGCTTGGGGTGCGGAATCCCACTGGGAATCCAGGGAACCCTCTTCTAGGAGGTCCAGTAGCTGGTCCTTTGGGGTGTAGGGTTTAGGGTTGCTAGGGTTTAGGGTTGAGGGTTGAGGGTTTGGGGTTTAGGGTTTGGGGTTTAGGGTTTGGGGTTTAGGGTTTAGGGATGTTTCGGGTTTCGGGGTTTTGGGTTTAGGGGTTTTCGGGTTAGGGGTTCAGGGTTTCGGGTTTAGGGTTTAGGAGCCATGCTACAAAGCCTCAAACCCACTCCTAAGTCCGACCCCATCCCGCCCAAGCGCTCTCGTGAGCCTGCCGCAGGGCAACTGACTCAACCCTGAGCCCAAGCAACAGTTCAGACCTCCAATGTTCTCCCGGCTTGTCGGATTTAGAGACTTTATGTAAGGTGTCTAATGTTTGGAGCGGTCTAGAGGGTTTATAGGATTTCGAGTGTTCAGCGGGTTTTGTGGGTGTAGAGGGTTTTAGGCTTTGAGAGGGAAACCATAAACCCTAAACCCTAAGCCCTAAACCCTAAACCATAAACCGTAAACCCTAAGCCCAGTATAGGTTCAGAGGGTTTGCCTCAACAGAAGACCCGCGCAGGTGTGAGCTGCGCGGTACCGCCGTGGATTTGCCTCGGGGCATGTGGAACCCTAAGCCCGTAGATAAGGCCTCAAACCTGCGCTTATTCCTAAACCCTAAACCCCAAACCCTAAACCCTACACCCTAAACCCTAAACCCTCTTGGGGTCGCCCGAGACGGGAAGACTTCACAGGAAAGGGAGAAGTCCCAGGAGCACGGGTTGCGGTTAGTATAGGGGTTTAAGGTTTAGGGTTTAGGGTTTAGGGTTTAGGGTAAAGGGCTAGGGTTTAGGGTTTAGGGTTTAGGGTTTAGGGTGGTATCCCTTATGGTCCCTTTGTAATTTTCCTGTAGTAACCCCCCAAACCCTGCTCTAATTTTTCAGGCCCCTATGTTAGGGTTTAGGGGTTGTTTAGGGGTTTCAGGGTTCAGGGTTTTGGTTGAGGCTTCAGCCCTTAATTTTTCGGGCTCACGGGCAGTTGCCAGTCTTTACGGCTATAGCTTCCCCGTCCCCAGATAGGGGGCAGTGTTCAGGGCTTTAGGGTTTACTCTTCCTGCGACTCGTCTTGAAGCTCATCAAAGGCCAAGCCCTTCAGCCTCAAACCCCCTAAACCCTAAACCCTAAACCCTTATCCCTTATAAACCCTAAACCCTAAACCCTAAAAAGCCCTAAAACCTAAAGCGCTAAGAACACAAAACCCCTCGAGGGGCGCAAGGAAGGTCCCCGCCGGTGCTGTCTTAGACCTGAAGATCAGGTTTTTGTTCGCCAAGAAAAGCGACCGCGGAGGCCCAGTCAAGCGTTTTTCCTGGGTTTAGGGTTTAGGGTTTAGGGTTTAGGGTTTAGGGTTGGGGGTTTAGGGTTTAGGGTTTAGGGTTTAGGGTTTAGGGTTTAGGGTTTAGGGTTTAGGGTTTAGGGCTCTTTGGCTGTTTAGGGGTTTAGGATGTTGGGGTTCAGGATAGCGGGGTTTAGGGTTTAGGGCTTCGAGTGCGTGGGGCTCTCCCCAGCAGAGAAAAGGGTTTAGGGTTTAGGGTTTAGGGTTTAGGGTTTAGGGTTTGCTGAAGCGACGCGCCTCGACCCAAGGGGTCGCGGGCGGCGCGTCGCGCGAAAGCTAAAACCCCACCCCAAGACCACCCAAACCTTGCTCTTTTAGGGTTTATAGGGTTTATTTTTGGGGTTTGTTCTCTCGTTGCTTTGTATTCTCTGCTGCAGTTGACATTTTAGTATAAATCAAAACGAAAAGTAAAGCAGAGCGCACCAGTATGCTTGTATGTTGTGTCTTTACGCCCGAACAGGCCCGGACGCGGGGTCCCAAAATCGCGCTCGGGGCCGCGGCGCCATCGCTCGCTGTCGCTGCGCTCCGTGGCGCCGCTGTGTGCAAGAACGTTTTTTGCTCTCTCGTTGCTTTTGTATTCTCTGCTGTAGCTGATATCTTAGCAAGAATCATAAACGAAGATTAAGGCAGAGGGCAACATTGTGTTTTTTTTATGATGTACTCGTATCTTTACACCCGAGCAGGCCCGGAAGGATCCTGGGGTACCCCCCACGAAGGCCTCCCTGTAGACCCCCCCAAAACCGTGCTTTTGAAGGCAAGCTTTCCCTCTCAAGGGGGGTCGGACTTTTAAGCACGGGGGGCCTCCAAATACTAGTTTGCTTTGAAAAAATCGAAAAATGACCCCCCTTGACCAAAATGAGCTCGTGAAAATGTCGCGGGGGTCCTGGGAAGGTTTTGGCTTCCCCTAAGCTTTTGAACGGCGCGGAAAGGCTTTTTACAAGGCGTTGGGAGCTTTCAGAGCGGTGGGAAGCACTTCTTCGAAAAACACGCCGCGCACCCCAGCATTTGGAAAATTAGGGTCATTTCTGCCATACAATTCCTTGCATGATTACATCTGGGGGGTCTAAGCAAGGGGGTCTCCAAATACTAGTTTGCTTTGGAAATCGAAAAATACGACCCGCCCAAGTTAGCTCGTGAAAAGGTCGTGGGGGTCCTGGGAAGGCTGTTAAAAGCCCCTGAAAGGCTTCCCCGAGGCTTCCCGCACGCTCCCGGATGCCCCGGACGCCCCCAGACACCATAATCCTAAATCTTCAACCCTAAATCCCAAACCCTAAATCCCAAACCCTAAATCCTAAATCTTGAATCTTAAATCCGAGTTTGTCAAAGGGGAAGGACGGAGGATCTAGGCTTTAGGGTAACATCATATGCTTTAGGGCTGTACGGCCTGTTAACTATTTCAAAGCTGCAAGGAGTGCGTTGCAGTGCCGAAGCTGTCTCTTCTGGCACTAAAGAGAGCATTTGCCTCCAACTGCTAGACTGTCGCTACTCAATTGTCGGCTGCCGTCGCTAGAGGCTCGGCGGGCTCGCTGCGGCCCGCTGCCTTGCCGGCAGCTCATCAGGGGCCTTGCTCGCAGCTTAGGGCTAGGGTTTAGGGTTTAGGGTGTAGGGTTTAGGGTTCAGGGTTCAGGGTTTAGGGTTTAGGGTTTAGGGCTTAGGGTTTAGGGTTTAGGGTTTAGGGCTTAGCAGGGCTCAGGGCTCAGGGCTCGGGGCTCGGGGCTCGGGGCTTAGGGCTTAG